TTGCTGCTTCTTCGAATTCCGAATATTCGTCATTTTCATCTCGTTCTTGCAGATTGCCTCGAGTGGACTTCCGCACGCGAGTTGAAGCTCGTGTTCGCTTTGTGGAGCCAAATGACGCTTCAGAAGATCCCCGGTAATGAGCTTTGTTCTTCGCGGGCCTTCTCAACCTGCGGCGACGACCGTCATTTGGTTCATCATCTTCATCAGCACCATCTACAATATCTTCACTCTCATCGTCTGAGGGTTCATCGAATTCAAAACCACTTTCAATGTCATCTTCTATTTCGTCGTCGTCACTGTGATAGTACGCTGAGAATGAGGCCCCTGTTGCTGCTCGCCGCGGCCTAGCACTGGGACCTCCGAAGCCAACCGACCAATCTATGCCAGAATCACTGTCGTTCGGTGCATCGCCGCCAAAGCGACTCAAAGTGTGTGGCCTGTGCATGGCGATAGGATCCGGGCTCTGTGATTCACGGAGCGTTTTTTGGAATTCACGAAGTGCTTGGGAGCCATTGCTTTGGTTCATGAGGCGATCAACGGTCATCTATGAAAGTGAAAATCAGACAATGTGATCCAGGCAAAATTTAGTGATACTGACTGTCAGAAGTTCGCCACTTTTCATTCTCACAGTGAGCCTTTGCTCATTGGACGTTGTGTCGATTCCGAGAACGCGGTGCGCCGTGAAGTGACCCGGTAGATATTCATACTGCTCGGGATTGTCAATCTTTGGGAGTATGATTTCGAAAGACATCTTTGTATTGTTGTTGTCTGAGCTTCCGGTGAGCTTAGCCCTGTGGCCGGTTTGGTTGTTGTCGCCGCGAGTGATTGCTGGGGTAGGAGATGCGGAGTCGTCAAGATCCTCCAGCATGGCCTCGGATTCCGAAGAAAGGGATTTGCCTGCGAATGTATGATACATGAGAAACCAAGAAGCTGCAGGAACCGCCAAGCGGCTCCTACAAAAGGTTAAATCAAATCAGCAAATCAAGCGGACATATTAGGGAAGTGAATCTCGAGAAATCGAAAACAATGAGGTATCAGCTGCAGGATCAAAGCATCAGCATAGGAAACAAAGTAGACCTTGAAACTCGAAGGCATACGGAGAAAGGTCCGATAACGCGCCGCGCGACGCGATAACGATAAGCGGAAAAAAGTTACCCCGCACTCGATATCTCGAAAATCTTCACGAGTCTGGAGAGAGAAGCGAAGATGTTGGTCAATATTGCAAGATCGGGATGGAAAGCACCCTTGCGACCGTTCAGTCCATCTGTACGATATGCGTCTTTGAATTCGGCTATTGGCAGAGGAATTCGCAGATCGGAAGCTGTGTATTCAAGAGATGAAAGAGATGAACGAGAGAGCGAGAGAAGAGGCCGCGATTCTCGGTTCTCAAAAGAGCAATACGGGCCACGACAATATAACAAACGACAGTACGATGGTACAAACGATGCGAACTTCAACCGCCGACAACCCTTCCGGAAATCCAATGACTCCCCCTTTACACCAAGAGGGCGATCTGAGCCGTTCCCCGATTCACCTCGAAATGACCAAGGCCGACGGTTTCCACAACAAGACAAGTCCCAATTTCTAAGAAATGATCGAACAGAGAAGCCTGCCTACAACGAGTTCGACGAAGATGAGTTCATTCGAACTGGCAGCTTCCGAGCCCTACCACGTGAACACCAAGCACGATTCCGCGAACGCGAACCCCGTCGTGACCACGGGACCTCATTCCGAGAACGCAAGCCCTCATACCGAGAACCTGAGTCTCAATTCCGTGACCGCGAGCCACAATTCCAGCGGCGTCATGATGCGAGCTTCGAAAGACAATCGAGAGACAAGCCCTCGGAGCCCAAGGAGAAAGAATCCAAGTCTCGAGCACACAAGGTGACTCGCGGCATGCCAGAGCGAGTGAAAGAGAACGTCAAAGTCCCGGACACGATTCCCTATACTACACCAGCCTCGGAATTCATCTATGGCACCAGTGCCGTGGAAGCGGCGCTGCGTTGTAGCCGGCGTCAACTATACAAACTCTACATATATCAGGCGGCAGAGGAAGAGCTGAGTGCCGGAAAGGTCACGATTCGCAAACTGGCACTGTCCAAGAACATTGGAGTCAAGATGGCATTTGCAGGATGGGACCGACTCATGGACAAGATGAGTGCAGGGCGACCTCACAACGGATGCATTTTGGAGGCATCCCCCCTGCCTAAACTGCCTGTTCGTGGCCTCCAGGCAGTTGACTCTATATCTGAAGAAAGCTTCCGCGTCGAGCTGGCACCCCAGACTCGGGAAGAAGCTGCGGTAAATGGCACCGACGATCGCGTCCCGATCCACCAACCTCCACCCCCGCATGAGGGCCAGCGATTCCCGGTCGCATTGCTACTGGATGGAGTTGTTGATCCTGGTAATATGGGCGCTATCATCCGCTCGTCCTATTTTCTAGGGATCGATGCTATTATCTTGGCAGGCCGAAACTCCGCGCCTTTGTCTCCTGTGACAATCAAAGCGTCTGCCGGCGCAGCTGAAAACATGCCCATTCTGCATGTGAGGAATGAAGTTGATTTCATTCAACGGTCACAGAAGAATGGATGGCGATTCTACGCTGCTGATGCGCCCGGCCCTGGATCTGTCTATATGGACACTGGGTCCGGTGGTGATTTGCCCATCATGACCTCGCCCAGCGTGCTGATGATGGGCAGCGAGGGGTCTGGATTAAGCTCGCATATCAAGTCGCACGCCGATGCAACAGTTAGTATTCCGGGCGCTCGTCATAGCCCCGTGCTGGGGGTCCAGTCGGACCCAGCCCGTATTGACAGTCTAAATGTGAGCGTCGCGGCGGCACTATTGATGGAGAAGTTCCTACGAACCCCACTTGCAGTGGCAGAAACCGTTAAGAAGGAGAGGGAAACTGTACGGAGTCCAAAGATGTGGTGATCATTGTAATAATAATCATGTACTATAGCACTATAGCATTTACACGAGATACCTCTACAATCGCATGGAGTTTTGTGTTTTATGTCACTTTTCATTCACTTAGGTATTCATATACTGTAGCTGAACCCTGTCCCAACAATGAGGCAACCAAGTAAACTGCAGGCCCCATTTAGATACCGAGGATCAACTGGAATCAGCGGTTTCGGCTTTGCGTCGCTCTCGATATACCGAGACTCGTCACCGAGATTGAACTTTGTGGGGATCAGATCGGACCTGTGGGGGAGAATCAAACCTAAACCTTTTGAGTCTCCTGAGTCTCAGTCTATAAAACACTCCTATTTTCCCCGGATTTGGATCACTATTCAATCGTGCTTATTTCTACCATTCAGGATTTTGAAAGTTATCAACTACATTATTCGCATATTTTATTTCCACAATGACCTCCACGACGACTTCCACAGTGACTTCCACAATGATCCCTGAAAAGCAAATCCCAACAACTGCATTCGTGGTCGAGAAGCCCGGCGCCCCATTTACACTCCAAGAAGTCATTCTGGACGAAGTGCGATCAAATGAAGTCTTAGTCGAGATGAAGTATACAGGCCTGTGCCACACAGTAAGTAACGCCACGGCGATGAACACCCCAGCGCCACACCGAAAACACAAAAACAAAACAAACCTAACAATACCCCTAGGATATCGTCGTCCAACAAGGTGCAATTCCAGTCGGCGACTTTCCTGCCGTGCTAGGCCATGAAGGCGCAGGAATCGTGCGTCGCGTCGGCAGTAACGTCAAAGACAAGTCCCTTCGTGAAGGTGATCTCGTCTTCCTAAGCTTCGCCTCCTGCCACGGAGAGACCTGCAATCCCTGCAATGACGGCCGAAATGGCTTCTGTGATCAAGTGACGATACTCAACTTTGGTGGTGCTCGTGGCCCCAATGCCGCCGACTCGCCTATCTCTTTCCCTGGTGGAAAAGGTCCGCTACGCGGCCAGTTCTTCGGCCAATCCTCTATGAGCAAGTTGGCCATTGTCGCTGAAAACTCCGTTGTCAAGGCTGCGCCTGGTTCTGGTGTTACGATTGAGGATATGGCTGTTCTGGCTCCACTGGGTTGTGGATATCTCACTGGTGCGGGGACTGTCTTCAATGTTCTCAAGCCCAAGCCCAACAGTCGATTTGTTGTTCTTGGTATGGGTGCTGTCGGTCTGGCGGCTTTGTTGGCTGCGCGGTCTCAGGGCGTGGAGAATGTCATCGCGGTCGATATTGTTGATGCTAAGCTTGAACTGGCGAAGTCTCTTGGTGCGTCGCATACTCTGAACACGAAGAATATCCCTGATCTTGCGGCTCATCTACTTGAGCTCTTCCCCGGGGGCGTTCAATGTGTTCTGGATACAACTGGTGTTACGCCGTTGCTTCAGGCTGGGATTGACTCTCTCGGTCATGAGGGTACCTTGGCTATTGTGGGTGTGGCTCGTGCTGGTCAGAAGCTCAATATCGATCCCCTGTCGTTCATGATGGGATGCAAGAAAATTGTCGGTGCTATTGAGGGCTGTGCTGATCCCGCTCAAGTAAGTCTCTTTTCATCAGTAGCCTTGTGTTTTTTTGACTAACCTGCGTTTGTGATTAGCTTGTTCCCCAACTGATTGATCTGTACAAGCAAGGGAAGTTCCCTGTTGATAAGCTTGCCAAGATCTATACCACTGATAAATTCGAGGAAGCCATGCATGATTTGCACTCTGGCACTGTACGTATCTCGATCGAGATCTCCCAAAGACTAAACTGACATGCCCTTGCAGGTGATCAAGCCCATCATCAAGTGGACGGACCAGTAATTTATGGGGATATATATGCCGGCGCTTTGGTGTTTTGTTGAAACGACTGTCTCCTTGGGGATTTGGGAGGTCGGGGTGTTTGATACCATGTAAACGTAGCAGATGAAGTTCGAAATGAAGTGATAAGGTAAGTGAACAAGTTGACGTAACCAGCTATATTTCAACCTAACATAACATCATGGGCCACGTATAATTTCACATTCTCAAAGTACACCGATATGCGAGATACGTCGACTAAGAAGGCACAGATAGGTTCTGGTGCAGTTCCTTTCGCTGCACAGCACCAAAGCGCATATTGCCCACGTCGAAGACCTGAAGGTTATAAGCCAGTGCGACGACAAAAGTGACAAGAAGAGAGACTTACCGCATAGACAGCCTTCAAGAAGGTATCACCAAGAATATCTATGGTCATACTACCACGACTCTGGATACCACCATAAACATAACCAGTCTTAGCCTCAGCGAATGCGAGATCCTCCTTCTGCACAACAAACTGCTTGTCGCCAACAGCAAAGGCAATGACAGGCAACTTATCAGCCGGAGTGTTAGATGGATAGATCCAACCCTGGTTTTCATCGTCATACACCGCTCCCTCAATAGCATCATAAATAGCCTGACAAGTATCATCATCAACCAGCGCCAGAGTAGTACCAGTATCAGCAATAGCGGTGTTTCCAGACCGAGCAATAGTCTTCCCATTCACAGTCGCCGAAGTCGAATCGAACGCCCAGAATCCCTGGCTGTTATCAACAGGCGTGTAGTAGATATCCTCCTCGGCAGCCTTCACTGTGTCCTGGTCAATATACCCAAAAGTATAGAACGATTCGCCCTTATCCGGCTCATCAGAGTCTCGCCAAGACCCCAGCTTAGCGGTAAACAGCTGAGCCGACTTCGGGATATCGACTTGCGTGATCATATTCTCGACAGGTGTGCTGACAGCCTTGGGCTTGACGGTGTTGATATTGCCGAAAGCAAGTCCGAGAAGTCCGTCACCAGCACCCTGTGCAAACTGAGCAGACAAATTCTCGGCCAACTCAACAGCCTGGCCTTTAACAACCAGTCCACCGATATTCACATTATCATTGCCGACCAAGCCAGAAGCAGAAGAACCATCTCCATAGGAGATCATCCAGGTAGAGCCCTCCTTCACCTTGTACGTACTCGACTTAGTCGGATCAAAGACAGTATGATTCTTATTCTCCGACAAAGTCTCAGCAGGCATCTTCGTCGACCAGACCTATACCCACATCAGTCCAAAGCCCCTCACATCCAGCAAAGCAATAAATATACTCACCCACAGATCCGCAGACCCAGTATCAAAATCCAAACTCAGCGTCTGAGCCGGAGTCCCAATCCCCACTTCAGCCAAATACATAGCATCATTCTGAACATCATCAGCGCCAACCTGACCCACCTGATCACTGTCAGCACTCTTCTTTTGCATCACCTTACGCAAATGGGCACGGCCTCCGACAAGCTTATCCGTGTACTGTCTGCCAGTCTGCTGCATCGTCATTCCGTACATGTACGGCCCACCCTTTGTAGGGGTGAAGCGGTACTTGCGCATGGCATACAAGTACGACTTCGTGCCGGACTTCTGATAGCGTGGATTGGCGGTGATTTTGATTCTGGTTGTCATGGTGGGTGGTTTGTGGGTGAGTTTTGCTCTGAGGAGTTTCAAGATTGACATGTTTCTCTGCGGGGGTTTCGGCGTTATTTATATTATTTATGTTACTGGGATAGTGGCATGCAACGGGGAGTTTGGTGGGGCGGTTGAAACGAGCGTCGTCATGGTGTTTTATATATCTTCACTAGCTTTGAATGGGCTTGACAAGTCATCTGTTGCTCGTGCTATCAGGTCACCATCTAATGGCGTTGTATTTCGTCATGGCGGATGAGTTAGGGTTAGTGTTGTTTCGAGGTGGCATCGGCTACGGTCAGGCCCGGTTATCACAAGAGGGGCTTCTGCATGAGTCTGCAGGGGTGGACGATAAGCCTTTTAGAACTGGAAAATAAGTTTATTTTGAATTACGAAAGTACACTTGAGATCATCTGCTAACGCCGATCCTGACGAAACCCCTCCCTAATCCGAATCTCCGAGAAACACAAACTGGGAACGTACACACACCCCTGTCAAGCCACAAGCCACATTACCTTTTCCGACCCTTAGACTTAGGCGCTGTAGTGCTGGCACGGGAGCTTGTGTTAGAGCCAGTCTTCCCACCCTTGGTAGCCTTGACTTGCTTGTTTTGCTGTAAACGCGTTAAAATCAGGATAACACAAATGATCGACGGGTACTTACAGCAGCTCCATTCTTAACCTTCTTCTTAGCAGGCGCAGCATCTTCAACTTCCTCGTCCTCTTCACGATCACGACCGCGGCTCTTGCCGTCGCCGTTGGTTTCGAACTCCTTCGCAACAGTATTCAACAAGGTGGTGCAGCGACGACCGACCTCCACGGGCGTACGGCTGAGGAAGAACCAATCGAAACGGAACAGAGGCGATTCACGGATCTCTTCACGGATCTTCTCATACAGACCCTCGCCCTCAACACCGTACTTGTCCAACATGACCAATAGGAATCGGTCCTCTTCTTCGGTGTAGACCTTCTTGTTGGTGGTAGACACAGTGTAGTTGATCTTGAGCTGCTGAAGGGGCACGCGGTACATCTCTAGCTTCTTGCGTAGCATCTTCCGCTGGTGGTTCATCTTGCGCAGCTTTTCCTCACCTTGATCGATGACTCGAAGGTACTTGGTGTAGTCGTTGATCTCAGTGTACCGGCGCCAGAAGACTTCGGCGTACTCTTTAATTTCATCTGGCTCCTTGCTGTCGATCTCAGTAGCAATACCCACGTAGTCGGTGCGACCGAATTTGGCAGACCCATTGACAAATTGTTGGAAATCACGTCGGTTCCAGTTTGCAAAGCCCTCCTCGGACATGCGAGCTTTCTGCTCTTGCTCCTCCTCGGTAAGTGGGACAGCATTGTCGATAGCGTGTTGCTCAAGAGCTTGGTCAGCCTCCCGGTCGCTGAGCTCCGTAGAGCCTCCGGCAGTTGTATCGGGAAGTTGAGCCTTGTATCCAATCTCCTTGTGGAACCAAGCGGTCTCTTTATCTTGGAGATCCGAAAGACCAGGTGGGAAGAATTGCCAGTCATGAACGGTGATTTGCTTGGGAGCTCGCGGGACCTTGGGCCTTGTGTCGGCGGTTCGGCCTCCAGTGGCCAAAGCCTGACGGTAATACTTGTCGATCGAGTAGAATTGTTCCTTGCGCTCACGCTTGGCAGGATTGATCCAGCTGACGCCAATATCCTTCTTGCGCTCGGTGAAATCCTTTCCGTTCCATTCATAGGCACTCTCAGACGAAAACTTCTGCAAATCATCAATACCGAGCGTTTCGTACTTCTTGCTCAGCTCCGCAGTTCGCTCCTCTCCCTTGCGCAAGATAGTCTCGATGTCATCTTCAGAGACTTCGTTTGCACTGCCGGTAGTCTTGGCGCCGAAGACGTTGGCAGCACCATGTTGAATCATACCAAGAAGATCATCTTTGGAAGTGGCTTTGCTGGCTTGTTGCTGAGCCCGACCTTGCTGAATGACAAGTTGATCCAAACGCAGTTTCTGTGCTGCGCGTTCGAGAACCTTCTCTTCGATGGCATTCTCCGTGACGAATCGGAATACCTTGACTTGCTTAGTCTGACCAATGCGGTGTGCTCGGTCCATGGCCTGCAAATCGGCCTGGGGGTTCCAATCACTGTCGAAGAGCACCACAATGTCGGCCGAGGTCAGGTTAATACCAAGACCGCCTGCTCGGGTGGTGAGAAGGAAAACGAACTTGTCTGATCCTGGCTTGTTGTAGTCATCAATAGCAGCGATACGGTCCTCGTGCGCCGTGGTACCATCGATACGGCAGTAGTTGTAGTCTCGGAACACACAGTAATCTTCCAGGATATCCAGTACACGACTCATCTGGGAGAAGATAAGCACACGACTACCATCTGCTTGCATGCGCTTCAGGAGCTTGTCCAAGATTGCCATCTTTCCAGAGTTGAAAACAAGGTGTTCATCAGTGGTGTACGGAGGGCCAGGCTCAGCTCCTTCGAACAGATAAGGGTGGTTGCAACACTTGCGCAATTGCATGACGATGTTCAACAGGCGGGTCTTGGACTCGCGTTTTCCTGCAGCACCGTTGACTGCGTCGATATCCTTCTCCAAAATCTTTTGGTACCACTTCACTTGCATCTCAGACATAGGAACATAGAGATTGAGTTCCTTCTTCGGCAGCAAGCTCTTTTCGACATCACTCTTGACTCGGCGGAGCAAGAAAGGACGGAGGACACGGTGGAGTTGTTGAATCACAGTGTCCTGATCGGACTCCTGGTTGGAGAACCATTGGTCGAATGCCTCGGAGTCACCGAAGACATCCGGCAGAAGGAAATTGAGCAGGGCCCACAGTTCATGAAGGTTATTTTGCAGCGGAGTACCGGTGATCAGCAGCCGGTTGCGCGAGTTGAAAAGACGGATGATTTGCGACAAAGATGATTCTTCGTTCTTAATCCGATGCGCCTCATCGATAATGATGTACTCCCAGGCGAACTTCTTCAAATGCGACTTCTCACGAAGAATCATTTCATAACTCGTGATGCACACGTCAAAGTTCTCCTCGAGCAACTCCTCGTTGATCAAACGCTGGCGCTCCTCTTTGTTGCCTTGGAGCACAAGAATCTGAATGTCAGGGATCCACCGTGCGAATTCTCGCTTCCAGTTGTCGAGGGTTGACTTCGGTACAACCACTAAGTGAGGACCAGTAATTTCACAGACAAAGCGCAGATAACCCAAGAAAGAAATGGTTTGTAGTGTCTTTCCGAGACCCATCTCATCAGCCAGGATACCCGAAATACCGTTCTCGTGGAGCGAAACAAGCCAGTTCAAGCCGGCGATCTGGTAATCACGTAGCTCACCATGAACGAAAGCGGGGGACTCTCGGAAAACAGTAGTTGTATCTCCACCACGTCTTTCATCTCTGAGAAGCTCGGCGTCTTCCTCTTGTTCCGTCCGGCGGCGGCGCTCACCACCAGCACCCCCTGAGCGCGAAGATCCCTTACGGGCCTTCTCTTCACTGTCTGCATTTTGGCGATCAATCTCTGTCATAATTTCCTTGATATGTGGGTTGGGATTGGTCTCGATGAAGTGGCGAAACAGGTCAGTGAGACCGAGAAGGTATCGGAATCGGCGAATCGAGTCATTCTCCTATTAGACATTGGTTATCAGTAAACAAGACGTGGGAATCAAAGAATCATTTTTACCTTCGATTCATCTAGACGGCCATGCTTCTTGCCCAAAATGCTTTTTCTCAAGTGGTTCGCCTCGGATCTGCGCCGGCGGCCATCCATATCGCCGGCAATACTGCTCGCTGTGGTATTTGGGTTCGTGTCGGAGTCCTTGAATTGAATTAGCCATGAGTATTGGAGAACGCTTGGTAAATCAAGGGAATCTGTACAGTGTAGTCTGGGGTGTCCTGGTAGCTCTGGGTTGCGACACCAAGTCAGCATTTGATCTTGAACCATAGGAGTAAAAAAATTGCATTAAGTTAGCCCCGACATATGAAATGTCGAGGGAGACAAGAGATATGACCACATACCGTCTGCGCGTCGGCGCTATCCACGGGCACCAAAGGGACCGTGTCGTCATTTCCATCAGTCATAGGTGTATCGGCCTGCGACACAGGGTCAGAGGCGAGGGCAGGCGCCATCGTCAGTCTTCAGCGCACAAAGCGCAAGTGCGGTCGGATGCTGAACACGTTTGTGGAACTGTATCAGAGAAGCTCGCGACTAGGTCAATCGCGTAGTGGCGACAGAGAATGAGCTGATATTTGTAGAGTGAAAGGGAAGGAAACAGTAGAAAAGTATAAATAAATCGGCGGGAGTTCACAAATCACGTTTCTTTCAATGAGCAAAACCCATTGAATGACCGGGATTGAATAATTCGTAGGATTGAGGCCATCCACGCGCGGGAGGACAAATGGGAACGCGGTAGGAGGCATTACCTAAGGACTGAGTCAGCTCGGATGATTAGTTCCCCCGCATAGTGGGGTCACGTTACCGGGCCAAACGCAAAGATGCAAAAGAAGATCATCTGCAGCACCAACTTGAGCAAGTTCGATCGCATCGTCAGTTGCTCTTTCCTAGTATATGACCGGCGTCGCTTTTGACGGCCTCTCGTCGTGCTAGAGCTTTTTTCCTTCTATCTTTACTATATCTACGAGTGCTATTTCTAGCCCTCTTTCACCGAGCTCTCCCTCATCGCCTTTGTCTAACAAGGAACACCGCGCAGCCACAGAAGGTGTAGCAAACAAACCCTCAGTGAGAACGTCACCTGACGCGGTGTCCAACTATCTACCTGCCATGGACTCTATGAGATCTCTGAACACCTCCTTGCCGAGCTCAACACCCCGCTCGCAGCCCCCGGAACAACTCCTCCAACAATTCAAGGCGGCGGCTTTATCCGTCACAAACCTCTACAAAAATGCAGTTTGCGAGCAAGCTTCGGCAAAGCAGGCTGGCTATCAGGAAGCGGTAGAGGATCTCCTGCATTTCCTTGACCGTGAGAACCTCGGTCTAGGAGACGGAGAGGGGTGGAAAGTTCGCCAATGGGCAACCGAAAGATGTGATGGGACTGCATCTCAGAGCAACGACGAGGATGACCGAGCCGAATCCGACAACCGTGATCGAAGTGCTACTCCCACCACTGCCCGCAAAGAAGCATCCGAACCAACTGCCCGTCAGCCCCCCACCTCGGCACCTGCTCCTACGTCCAAGCCAGATCCTACCGCCCTTCCCACACAACCAACTGAACCAAGTCCTCTTACTACTCCAGCCATCTTCACATTCTCTGCTGGTCCGACATACCCCCAGGAACTCGACATGGATGAGCAATCTCCGGACAACTCATCTGCACCAACGCAAGACGGTGCTCCCGTCAGCGTCTCTATGATGCCTCGCAACCCTCGGCCCCACCACCGCCACAACAACCATGGACGACCGAACGCAAGGCCAGCGGCGCGGGAGTCACCTGCTACTGTCGGGTCGAAGAGGAAATTCACTTTCCCAGACTTCTTTGACTTATCGGGACTCAACAACGGACGAGATACGTTTGGAGGAGGAGGGAAACGGGGCCGTTTCACCTAGGCTTTGATGCTTCGGTAACGGATATGATAATGACGACGTGACGAATACTCTATTCTGATTGTCACACAGCGGCTGAGTGAGCTTTCGGGTATGGAGGAGCTTTTCGGATGCATAACAAGGAAAGGATTTGCATATTTGCATATGGCTTCGTTTTTTCGCTTTTTGCCTTTTTTTTCATTCTATCTTTTCTTGGGTTTTCTTTCTTTCTATCTTTATTTTTCCTTACCCTTGTGAAATAGCATATAGACGGACATGCCTGTGGTGATACCCGATACCCGGAGTGGCAACTGTCATTGGCTTGTGATTAAATACCAATTATCTTACATATACACCTCGCTCTTTCATAAAACCATCTAGTCTTGTCTACTTCCGTGTAGGTGGATTTCGATGTTGGAGTATACACTCAGTTGAACGCCCGCCACAGCCCCATGCCGACCAGAGTTGCGGATATCGTGGCAATTCCCAACTGCCTTGAGCCCATTTTGTATTTCGTAGGACCCGCCATGATTGCCTTCTCTTGTTTGCGGAGGTTGCTCATTCCTGTGTAGTAGCTGTAGACACCGAGGCCAACGAACGCGGCAGATCCTGTTGCGCAGTATCAGTAACAATGTCAAATCATACAGACCTGGAATGCCGAATTACGCAACTTACCAGTTACTCTGCAGGACATGCAGTCGTCGAACCCATCCTCGGCCAGTGCCTGTTTGGCATCTTTCGTAGGGATATCCGTGGCGCGGCTTTCAGACGAACTCATTGTGTATTGAATGTAGTCGATAGTATGCAACAAAAGAGAAACAAATGCGCACAGAATCCCTGAAATTGAGTTATTCCCTGAGTCGAGAGATGGCTGTCGTCAAAAAGTCAACCTAAGGCGGGGATCGGCGGCAAAACAGCTTCATAGCTATGGAATCAACGCCGAGCGTACCTGTCACCAGACCAACTGCCACCATGAGCGGCGAGATTGATGCCGTCTACATATATGACGAGCAAAAGTATGTTATTCGGTCTCAGCTTACAACACCAAACTAACCCTTATTCTCAGTGCACCTCTCGTCGAGCATGTATACCGATCCCGCCCGCCTTCGGCCTCCGCCATCCTGCCCCTCTACCTCGCCCATGCGGCCCCACGCCCCTCCTTGCTGTACATAGCTAGCACTTCACCGCCGGTGACGGTATTCTCGACTGTTGAGTCAAATCTACTGTTCCTCGCTATCAGCGAAGTCGATACCGAGCCACTCCTAGCACTCGAATTCCTGCACCGGGTGGTTGATGTCCTCGAGGACTTTGTTGGAGCACCGCTACTCTCAACTAAGATCAATGCCAATTACGATGTTGTCGCACAGCTGCTTAATGAGATGTGCGATGGCGGGACGGTATGCAATACCGAGCCCAATGCATTGCAGGAGGTTGTGGAGGTCCCGGGTTGGGTGGATAAGCTGCTTGGCGGAATCGGGGTCCCTGGGTGAGTAGCTATTATCTTAATTGGTGAAATGTTACTAATAAAGAGGCTGGATAAAGCACTGCAACACCAACTTTGGGATCTACCAATACTCTGAAACAATCACTGGCAGCTGTCAGTGCATCTCAAGGCCCTGCCATTCCCTGGCGACGACCGGGTGTACGGCATACCTCAAATGAACTATATGTCGACATAATCGAATCTCTGTCAGTGACCATGGCTCCTTCGGGTCGACTGCTTTCGGCGTTAGTATCCGGAACAATTGCTTTTACCGCAAAGATCTCAGGAGTCCCGGACCTGCTACTATCGTTATCAGCTCCGGGTGGACAGCATTCCCTTGGCCGCAAGATCGAACTACCAGTCTTCCACCCATGTGTCAGACTGGCCAAATGGAGGGAAAGACCTGGCGAACTAAGCTTTATCCCTCCGGATGGACGATTCATCCTAGCTGGGTACGAAGTTGACCTCCTTCCTATCGATCCGAACCTGGATGAGCCACCAAGCCATATGGAAAAGCTCTTCTTACCTGCTATTGTGGATATTCGCAAGTCATTAGGTACATCGGGCTCTGAATTCGAAGTCCGACTAACTTTGAACACGAATTTCCCCGGCCAAAGTTCATCGTCACGGCCTGGGGTTGGGCGGAACGGATCCGGCACATCAACGCCGTCATTTCTCGGTGGCAGTGGCAGCGGATCGAATGTACCGGTACTAGAAGAAGTTGTCGTCAGTGTGCCGATCTCCAAGTCTGTCAGACACATCACGGACATGCAGGCCAGCCGTGGTGACGCCCAATTCACCCACTCAACTGGACTCCTCGAGTGGCGGATCCCGACTGGCAAGGATGCCGGCTCATTGTCGGGTACCGCTACACTACGCTGTAGTGTCTCAGGCTATCCGTCTGCCGACGATGACTTCGATGATAGCCTCGAGGATGCAGACGAAGACGCCAATGCCACCCTCCTGCAAGGCTACTACGAGGCCCCCACTTCATACAACGACCACTCTGTCAGCACAACCAAGGAAACCCGATCCTCCGACCCCACCAAACGCAAAAAGAAGAAGAAGAAGGACAAGGAGAAGGAGAAGTCCACAAAGAAATCATCCCGTTCGGCCGCTCTAAAACCCGAGAATGCTGAAGACTCGGTTGCAGTAACAGCCACTACCCCATCACCAGACCACTCCAAACCCGCAACCCCTACACCAAAGCCTCAACCCCAACCTCAATCCCACGCCAATACATCCGCCCACCTACCCACGTTCTTCGACCCATCCTCCACCTCCCGTCCAGCCCGCAGAACCAAAGCCCAGCTCAACGCAAGCCTGATGCCAAACTCGGCCTCGGTATCTTTCTCCGTGCGAGGCTGGCTTCCTTCCGGTATCAAGGTGGATAGTTTGAACATTGACCAGCGCCGCAGTCGGGGCTTGGGTGAGAGTGTCAAGCCGTACAAGGGTGTTAAGTATCTTTGTGTGAGTAAGCGCGGCGTTGAACGGCGCTGCTGATTAATGTAAATTTCCTTTTGGCTTTCTTTGGATTGAGAATCTATGCATATGTCTGGGTTGGATAGCGGTTCAACGAACTTTCGCTTTGATAGCATGAATATGACTCATGATATACATCTTGGATTTACCTAGGTGTCTACTACCTTAGAAATAAAATAGCTACTCCTATTTTGTCTAATTTTGTATACTCTAGTGGCCCCCTTGAAGTCTAAATTCCGGTAGACATTAGAGCAACTCCCTCCCATAGGCTGTACGAAACTCCCAGGCGGAGAAATAAAGTAAACAAACGGAGAGAAGACAGAACAAGGAGTATGAATGACATTGATTTTCGGGGATGCTGTTTGGCTGGCTAGGGTCAGGTGGGAGGGAGCTGAGCACTGAGATATCTCTGGATATAAAAATACCCTACCAAAAATCATCCTGACGAACACGCCTATCGTGGGCAGCGCAGAAGGGAAACGAGCCGATGATCCAGCTCCTACTAGAAAAAGGCGCTGATCCAAACCTTGGGGACAATGATGGGCGTACGCCTCTAGCATGGGCAGCCGAGAAAGGAAGAGAAGAAACGGTGAAGATACTACTCGAAAACGGGGCTAATGTAAATTCCACGGATAACTATAGCCAAACTCCGCTGTCATGAGCAGAGAATAGGAGGCCATACTGGTCGACGAAGATACCAACAGCAGTGGTCAAGAATTTGTTGGAATATGGCGCTGATCCAAACCTCGCAACAGGATTCAAGTATTCGGAGTTCATTAGGTCTGCCAAAAGCATCAATGCCTATGAGTGGGATGCCTGTTCCATTAAGAGCAACTGCACAGAATCTGACTTTGACATGTGTTAAGCATATCATTATGGAGGCTTAATGCATAGAAGTTGGCTTACATCTCTACGTGACAACCTCGGTAAGTTGATACCAAAATAGAATCCAATCAGGAGACAAAATGTCCAAGGCTGAGATCAACTACATATACATTAACTTACCAATCAATCCAAAAAGGTACATAGCAAATTATCGCAAATAAAAAAAGTAATTACTCCCAAAAATCAATCCACCAACCCATCCCCAACCCAGTCAAACCCCGAAGACCATACTAATAAAGCCAAAAGAGATCAACCAACCAATTAACCCAGAAGGGTAAGAGACAAGGGAGTGATCAGCACAAGACAAATCCAAACGACGGGAAGCTTGACGCCTGACTGGTTCGGGGTGTAGATCTGATCAAATTTTGTTTTAGCGTTTCCAATAAATGGGGCATATTCACGTTTTCACAGTTTGGCTCGGCGTTCGAGGACTTGGAGGACGATGTAGGCAACTAGTTACGGGTTAGAGGATGCTCATTTCGGATACTTGGTTTTGATTTGTGGATGAGATAGGAATTGGGGAATGCAACAAGACATGACGAAGAGTCAAGAGGGCTTGGTTCATTAATATTCACAAATTAAGAAAGAGGGTCCTTGGTTTCGCCTGCTTTTTCGTGGGAATGAAGGGTGGTATGGAGGAAATAAAGGAAATAAGGAGAAGGAAGAAGAGATCTGTGTAACGGTGCAAAAAGAAAGGGGAAATAGAGAATGTAATAGGTTTAACCAGTTGAAATGGAGATGGGGTATATGGGGGGTATATAGGGTATTGGGGGGACCAAGATTATGTGCATCAACCACCCCAGTCATGAAATGAACAGGAATGGATTGGTGAAGAGCTACCCTCACCTGCGAACTTATTTCCCCTCTTGATCTTGATTTAGAGGAGAAGAACGAGGTAAGAAGGCGAAGACCCAAAGAATAGCCAAAAGAAGAAACATTCAAAGCCATATAGCGTGCAAGGTGTAAACCGTGAAGATAGCGGGAGATCAACTGGGTAAAAAAAGGAAAAGAAATCTACTCACTGGCAGCAACAGCAGCAGCCCGACCAGCACCGGCCTTTGCGGTTCCACCACCAAGGGTGAACAGACAGCGCAACCAGCCCAAGGTCAGCTTACGACCGCTACGGTCAAAGTCCGGTGTGAGTGCGCTGGCAGCCTTGAAGGTCTTGATCTTGTTGCCGTAGGGCGGGTAGCGGATAGCAAGGATAGCCTCGAGCCAGCTAGGGCTGGAGGTGATGGGACGGCGGTGGACCCAGACGTCGAAGCTGGAACGTCCACGGTAGGCGCCGTAGCCACTCTCGCCGACACCACCGAAGGGCAGGGTAGGGATGTGCAGAGCGGCGTCGTTGATGGAGACACCACCGGAACGGGTGGCGGCGAGGACTGGAGATTCGTTAGTAACCGTGTTTCCTGACTACAGATCATGAAGGGGAATGAAAGCTTACTCTTCTCGACATCTGCCTTGTTGCCGAATGGATACAGACCAAGCGGGGTGCTCTGCACACCATTGGCCAGCTGAATAGCCTCGTCCAAGTTATCAACAGCAAGAATAGGGATGAAAGGACCGAAGCTCTCCGACGTGCAGAGCGAGTCATCAATAGACTCAACCTGAACAACGGTAGGCTCAATAAAGAGCTCCTTCTCATCCATAGTACCTCCCATAAGGATCTTGCCCTTAGTGTTATCAAGCATGGACTTAAGACGCTGGAAGTGCGTCTCGTTTACGATCTTGGAGTAGTCCTCCGAGCCCTTGGCACCGTTAGGATAGAACTCCTTGTATGCCTTCTTGAACTCCTCGACAACCGGGCCGACCAGCGCCTTGTCGACGAGCAGGTAGTTCTGCGACGTGCAGACCTGACCGGCATTCAGGAGCTTACCCCATAACATGCGGCGAGCGACTAGGCGCGGGTCGGCGGACTTGGTCACGATAGCCGGGTTGATACCACCGAGCTCGAGCACGACGGGAGTCAAATGCGGGGCGGCAGCCTTGGCGATAATGCGGCCGACGTTGGCGCCGCCCGTGAAGAAGATCTTGTCCCACCGTTCGGCAAGTAGAGCTTGGGTCTCGGGAACACCTCCCTGCACGATAGTGTAACACGAGGGGTCGAGACCTGCCTCGACGATCTTCTGCATAACAGCCGCGCTGCGAGGCGCATTCTCGCTGGGCTTGATCACCACCGTGTTACCGGCAGCGATGGCGCCGATGACTGGGCCGAGAGTCAGCTGGAAGGGGAAGTTGAAGGCACTGTAGGCGAATAATGTGTTAGCGTGGCAATCTTCGCCCGCAGGAGGGGAATCGCATACCCAATAACTAGCACGCAACCCAGGGGATCCTTTCTGATCTTGGGGTTCATCAACTTGTAGTTGAGGTCGATATCGGGGGCCTTTTCATCCTTGACCCATTTGTGCAGGTTGCGCGTGGTGAAGACGATGTCGTTCAGGATCCATCCGATCTCCGCGAGCTCGGTCTCGAACCGAGGCTTATGCAGGTCCTGGGCGCAGGCCTCGAAGATCTCTTCCTCATGGTCCTTAATGCTGTGGTACTGTCAGTATGCATAGGAAAATAAAGCCGAGGCCACTTACGCCCAGTAGAGCTTGCGCAGCTGGACGAGACGGAACTCGACGTCACGGGTCTTGTGCTCCAAGAACGCCTTGCGGGGGACGGAGATGCGCAGAGGGATCTCGTCCAGCGAGGTAAATTGCAGTTCGGGTAGTTCGACGCCCATTTTGAAAGTGTAGGAGATTTATTAAAGGAGAAAAAGGGAGTGACGAGGTTTAAGTGTAAGGGGAATAGTTGACTCCGCATCCACAATTCCCCAATTCCACATGCTCCGAGCTCTCGGCACGTTCTGATTTGGGCTTCATATCCGTCTACTTTCCCCCTTTCTTCGATTTTTGCTGCATTTTTTTGCTAGAAGTGGTATGATCCTAACATTCCGAATATTCTCCAAATCAACAGCAAATAATATGAATAGTTTGGGCGACTCTTCTCATACTAGATCCCTAAGCCGCGGCTTCACACGATCTGTAGGCCCCGCTTTTGAATACGATCGGCGCTCGCAGGGCTTTTTACGGTTAGAAGCTTTGGACGTCAGAAGTGGGCCAATAGCTTCATTTGGGTTGTGAGTTGCCGAACTAAGTCCGAATATACCTGGAATCTATATACTGCCGTCGAAAGCGTTAAAGAATTCAAAGTCTTGATTTGCTGGTTTGTCTTTCTGAGGAATCATGATCAAGATCTTTTAGGATATCAGTCTAAGAGAATCTTAAAAAGCAGGGTCCGAGACCCCTCTAAGATATATCTACGAAATTCTTGCGTGTTGAAATGCATGTTTAGATGCTTCGTCATGTTTATTTAACGAGGTAGCATTTCTTAAAAAAAGAGGCATATCATGATCCTAGGAAGGTAGAAGTAAGGCGGAAAGACAATAAGCAATCATTAAAATGGTCCAAATCAATACATCTACCTGCCATATACAGGGGCTTCTACGAGTAGAAATATTAAGATATCACAAGTCAGTTGGGAACTAGCTTCACGTAGTCTACAACTGAGACCGAGACAATACACTCATTCAGAGAACAAACAATCAAGTTATGCTGTGATTTCCAAAATGCCAATGCAGTCCAGCTCGCCCAAAAGGACAAGGCGAACAGGGAATCCAAATAAAAGTTGCAAACAACAAACGTAAAAGAAGGAAAAAAGGAAACGCCAGATCAATCAAGATATATCACAGCATGTAGTACATAACAACGAACAAGTCCATCATAAAAGGGTATATCAAGCGCAACAATCCAAACCTTAATGCTTGAACTGATCCTCGGTAACACCCTTACCCATAGCAGCAGTACTACTCACTCCACCGGAAACCATTTTGAGCATGTTATCCACGTAGTTAGCACCACTCCATTTCTGGTGGGTGACGACGTCAACACCCAGCTCCATCTCCGGTTCCTGAACTAGCTCGCCGTAGGCGCGCATGCCGTTTTTGGCGTAGGCCTTGGCAAACTGGTGAGAGATGAGTGCGGTGGTGTGCAGACCGGCTAGGGTGATGAACTGCCATGAGTAGCCCAGGGCGCCGAGACGCTTGATGTAGGTCTCTTGCTCGTCGCGGGGCATGGCCTTCTTCCAGTTGAATGAGGGAGAGAGGTTGTATGCGAGCCTGGGAGGGTTGTTAGTCAATTGTTTTTATGTTGTATGTGATGGGTTGGTTTGGGGAGTTGCTTACTTCTGCTCGGGCCAGACGGCGTGCACGCCATCGGCGAATTCCTTGGCCTGCTTGTAATCGGGCAGCTTGCTCTCCATCCAGATAAGGTCGGCGAAGGGCGCATAGGCCACGGCGCGGTTCACGGCGCACTGGGTACCGCCCTGGTAGCGGTAGTAGCCCTCGCGGGTGCGGGGAGCGTCCCAGTTCCAGTAGATGTCGACACCGGTGATGCCCTTGGCGATGGCGCGGGCTTCGTTGTTGTTCTTGCCCTTGACCGAGGTGAGGTACTGGTCGATCAGGCCCTTCTTGTTGGGGAGGGAGCCGGAGTTGATGGCGTCAACGACGGCATCGTTGAAGAGCTTCAGACCGGCTTGGCTGGTCCACTGGTCCTCAATGGCCTGTAGGTCTGCACCGTTCTTGCCGGCTTGCTCGGCGGCGACCATCAGGTCGTTCAGAGCCTGCAGGTTGGGGTTGGTGGAGCCCAGGATGAAGGCGTGGTCGCGGTGGTCGATGGTGGAGGTGATGAGGGTTGCGGCTTCGGAGTCGGTACGGGCGATAGCCAGGAGGTCGGAGCCTGGTTCGTGTTAGTTTTGGTCTGCAATGTGCAATTTATTCGTTGACTTACCCATGATATCGGCCTGGGCACGAATGGCAACCAGACGGTTGATGTGCTCGCTGATAGGGACAAGCACCTTACCGGCCATGTGGCCGCACTTCTTGGTGCCGGGAGCCTGGTCCTCGATATGGATACCGGCAGCACCGCGCTCGACGAACAGCTTGGTAAGCTTCATGACAGCAGTCAGACCGCCGTGGCCAGTGTCCGCATCAGCAATGATAGGGCGCAGGTAGTCAACGTTGGCAACGTTTCCACGCTGGCCAGCGGGTGTAGTCAAGCGCTCCTCGCGCTGTTTCCGGTCGTGGAAGAGCTGTGCCATGAACAACTGGTTGACCTTGCGAGGCACAGTGTCCTACAACTGCATAAGTATGCGCTAATTTAATTATAAATGGATCCACGTACCATAGGGTAATCGGCAAGATCGGGCGAAGGCTCATCAGTAGACGAGGCCGTAGACGAGCTCTGCCATCCGGAGACATAGATGGTGTCGAGGAATTTGCACATCTGGGTGATCATTGTAGGCTCGAGACAGCCGTAGGTGAAGCTAGCCTGCTTGTTCTGTTTGTAATATAGTCAGCATCTATAGATCGGCAGTGGGTCTTCGCGTCAAACATACCTGGAAGTTCGACTCCACGATGCTCCAGAGCTTCTTTGCCTGCACATTGGAAGGGTAATCAATCTTCAGGTTGCCGCGCTTGGCTACGATCTGCTCCGCTGTGAAGGGTCGCTTGGTGTAGCGCCACCGGGAGTCCTTCCACCAGCTCTTGACAGCCTGAACCTCCTCGGCGTACTTGCGGTCTTCGTCTTCGTGTAGACCCATGATGACTTTTGGTACAATACAAATCAAATATGTAAATCAAATATATTTTCAAGAGTCCAAAATAATGGAGGAGAGAAGAGAGGAGAGGAAAGAAAAAGAAAGTTAGAAGCTAGCTATCACAAGCCAGAAAACCCAGGGTACTTATTCTTCGAATGCGTCACAGCTGTTCGGTAAACGCTCGGCTCGGCGGGACAACGCTGAGCCAATGTTGACTGCCTAGGCATATTCTAGTAATACTATATGGACCACGGGGTAATCGCTCCGAAAGGCGGAATGCGGGTACATTGGTTCGGGAGACTGGAGATCCTCGGTCTAAAGGACGCTTTGCCACGGCTGGTTTGTTGCGGATTGCAAGCATCTTGGGTTACAATAGAAACTCTCGGTAGCTCAAGGGAACACGAAGAACAATTCATTAAATACTTCAATCTTCTTTTCCCCCTTTCAAACAGTTCAATGACCTGAAACTGAAGGAATTGAAGGAAACTACCGGGAAGCCGATGACGTCGACGAACGCACATGACAATACGCCAATACAGTAATTTTCACGTGAATTGTATCGATAATCGGCCATAATAGAGTCAAATGCAGAGCTATCTCCCGGGTCATACGATGAGTATGTCTACATATCCGTGAGACAATAATAACCCGAGTTTCCTCCCTCTCACTGGCCACAAGTTGGAGATACAGACACACAGAATTAAACTTTGTCTGTCTGAGTCATCCTGCCGTTTTGTCATGCCCCGGTATTCGGCGGGTCTCCACCGGTCGACATCTTCAATGTTCAACTACAGTACGAAGAACTATAGATATACATGTAGATATCGGGAGCCGGTAGCAGGGTATAGTCATCTATCCCTTTTCAGTTTGGTGGTGTGTATTATAGCTAGATGTCATTATGTCTCCCACTCCATACTTCGCTTCTGTACAATAAACATAACATACAAGGCATCCCTTAACTCACGAAATCAGACCGGAACAAAAGCAACAAATGGGCAGCACATGCACCTATCCAGTTGAATCGATCCGCTCAGCGATCAACTACAAGAAAATGGCTCAAAACCGCCGCGAAGTTGGACCTCGGCACAGCTCAGCTCGAACAAACTAACCGTATTCGGGATAACTCTGTGGATTGGAGATAAACTTGAGATCTGAGACCCAGTCTGGAACCTGGAACTAGCTGGCTCCTCCTTATATCGAAGAAAATATACCCGGTACCTGGCACGTTTGCCAAGGATTCTTGTCGCGTGTCTATAGAATTCCAAGTCCAGCAAAATCGCTAAAGTTGACTTTGACTCTCTATAAACAGTACGGCCTTATACTTATACTGAGGACCCTGCTATACAGCTCAAAAAAGGAACAAACCAACTGACCGACTGTATTGTTGTATACTATCATCCCAGCACGAGGACAACACGAGGACATGTCGGGGAAACCAGGGACAAACCCCACCCGTCAAATTCTTGACACGGTCCAAGACCAACTCCAAGTAGAAATAAACATAAAATGTGGAGGCCATTACAATGACGCCTTTCATGCAAGCCGGGATCTATTCGGGGCGAACTTGTTGCTCTGCCGAGGAGTGCGCCGAGTTATTTTCGCCTGTTTCGGATTGATTCGGTGTAGTGTTTATCAGGGGCTTTTGGAGGGGATAGCTTTTAGCAGGATGCGGGGATGCTCTGTAGATGAATTTGCATCATACAGTACATAACCAAGCGACGTGGAAAAAGTTACCGTAGGGGACATGATATTCCTAGTGGCCCGCAGAAAGACATCCATCAGGTTAAAGGTAGACTACTGGCAAGTACCTGAGGCTTTGAGATCCGGGCTATTTGCTCCTTCATGGTAAGCAGCATTTACCTGCCCTGTACGTAGCTGTCGGTTTGCCAAGGACTTTTCTGGGGACTTTTTTGATGTCTTTTCCAAGATCTTTTGTAAGATGTTTGGTGGATCTATAAAGACTATGGGTTATATGATACTTAGGATCATGATGACGAATAGCATCGCGCTTTCTCAACTAAACTTTCCCTCTTCTTTTCACTCGTCCTTTCCTCCGCAGCTATCTCTCGAATCGTAACAACTACCATGCCTCTCAGCTCGGAGATTGAAATTAAGCCCAAACAATTTTACAACGTCACAATTGCAAAATATGATAAAGTGCTTTAGTCACGCGGCATGGTGCGTGCATCCGTATTTCATCGAGTATTATTTGATCAAAATGCTGATCTCGTCACTGCCAATACCCCGAGGACTAGACGTCTTAAGGTTATATATCCACCTAATTAGGCAATTTCATATGACCTTCAGCCCTGAGGATCTCGAAGTCCTTTGTGATATACGAAGCTCTTCTTTATACCCGCATTTATACCTCACATTCCTCAAACTGATCGCTAGCTAGCTATGTACTCGTATTAGTCCTAAAAAGGTAATCAGTATCTATTGTACAAAACTTTGTAGATATAGAGGATTGAGCTCAGCTCAGGCCGCGGCCGGTACTTAGGTAGACAATCAACTCCATGGTTCTCGGTGCATTGGCAGCGCTAAGAGATCAACATTTCATTAAATAATACTCGATGAAATACAGCTGCTGCTCCTTACCAATCCAGTTAAACAACTGGGGGGTGGGCGGGGAGGGGGTCGTCCGTTTAATCTATTGTAGTCAACTATATAGCTGCCATTGCTAGAGGCTAAGGACACTGAGCCGTATTTGTTGTGCTTCAGTATTTCCAAGTTTATTCTACGATTACCGTCTACTCCATAATTTATAGCTTCCTTGCTCTTAATGACAATAAGTTCTCAGATTTACAGAATATCAGGTAACTCATCTGACTTCTACTTGCATTTCATTTTTATTACCCCACACTTTGTTCTGTGCGAATATGCCAGGACGCCATATCAGAAAAGCACGAAAACCCAATCAAAAGGCATCCTGGGCCACAACGGCCTTGTGGTACGTGTCATAGGGAGTGATAGCTCCCAGCGACCGTCTCATATGCGCATTGAGAATCTCCAGTCCGTAAACATAACTGGCGTTAACCCAGCCGAATCTGCGAACAATTAGCATCCAATTCAAAACATTTGAAGCAATGAAATATCTTCAAGAGAGGGACATGAACATACCCTTCGCGGGGAGCGCCCTTAAAGTCTGTACCCTGGTTTCCATACTCGGCATCAACCCGATGCGGGTCAATAGGCCTAGTGACATCGTACTTCTCGACAACGACACCATTGAAATCAACAAAGGCCTTGGTGATCATGTACACCCACTTGTACGCCAACCGCTCCGCGTCCTCCTGGTATCCGTACCGGAGGAGACCCGTCCAGGCGAGGATTTGCTGCGGCGCCCAGCCGTAGGGATAATCCCACTGCCGGTTAGGGCGTGTCAATCCAATAGCACCGCGGGACTCCTCTGTGCCCGAGACAAGACCGCCGAATGCTTCGAAGCGTGGTAGAGCCTTGGAGACTAGGTCTGCTGCTTGGGCTGGGGATGCTAGACCGGCCCACATTGCCCAGAAGGTTGTTGCGGTTTCGTAGTTTGTGCGTTCCTTCTTGACGGTGTCGTAGTCGAAGTACATGCCCTTGTCCGCATCCCAGAGAAGCTGGTCCATGCGCGCCTTGCGCTTGCGTGCACGTCTGTCCCATACCGCGGAGGTCTCGAACTCAATGTCTCTTGTTAAGGGCGTGCGGAATTCGGTGGGGATTTCGAGTCTGTCGTTGAAGTGGACACGGATGATGCGTGCGATGTCGACTTCGTATTTGTACAGGAGGGAGTTGAGGTCTACGGTGGCGAGGTTGGCGCATACACCTTCGAGTCGGTAGCTGGTGTCGTGGCCGGACTCACGGACTGCTCGGTCATGCAAAAAGTACTCGTCCAACTCGGGTTCCACAATTTCTCTGTGGTTGTATGCCCTGACAAACTCTTCGAATGCCATGCCGTGCTTCTCGGCGTAGGGTGTGAGGATATGCAGGAAGTGAGATGGTTCGGTCTCTGGTGGCACTCCCCAGCCTTCGGGGCGATACCGCGAGAGACCGGTCTCGGGGTCCAGGCGAGGCGCGGACACCCAGACGCTGTTGTAGTCCTTGATGGCGGCGAGAACGGCGTTGCGCAGGAATTCCCTCGAGTCAGGCTCCGTTTTGATTCTTTCGTATACGCGCAAGGCCATGTCTGTCAAGAATGGAGGCTGCGAACGAGTCAGGTAGTAAGATCGGTTCGCGTTGAGGACCTTTCCATAGTGCTTGATCTCGAAGCAGAAGTTGGTAACCATGCCCTTGGCAAGATCAACGCGATCATTGGAGAGCAGTCCCAAAGCCATCATATAGCTGTCCCAATTGTAGAGCTCGTTGAAACGACCGCCTGGCACAACGAACGGCACACCGACAAGCTCTTCCTTCATGGTTGACTCGTTCGTCTTTTTCTCCATAGCCAGCGCCAACAAGCCGGGCTTGTTGTTGAGCTTCATCACATAGTCCGCGGTAATCTCAACAGGCAGCAACTGCACATCGAGACGCAGCTCGGGATGATCCTTGGCAATGCCCTGATAATATTCGAACTGTTCCGGAGCACCTGGTGGGACATAGACACGAGGACGAGGATCCGCAGTCCAGTCCTTCGGATCCTTGCCCGCCACTTCAATGTTATGACCATCAATACGTCGGGTGAGCGCGTCCCAGAATGAGTTCTTGATCATACGGGAGAGCCGCGACACTGGGTTCTCGCTCAGGCGTGCTTCGTCCAGAATCAGACGCTTGCGACCGTAGTCTTTAGCAATTGTAAGCTCCTGTAGAAGGTTGGAGAGCATGTATGTGCCTCGCACATCCACTCGATTGTATCCAGATGATGCAGCAGTCCCGACCGAGAGCACCTACAGCAGTCAGTGGTTGTCCCGGGCCAATGACACCAATGAACCCACCTTAGGTCCCAAATCCTCAATGGTGATCTGCATATTGCTATCCGTATCCTCCTGCTTCAGGAGAGCCTCGAGCGTCTCATCCACGTTGATAAGGAATTTCCTGGGTTGGCCTGACGCCTCATCTGTTCTCCCACTTAGTAGCTGAACCAAACGCAATTATCCAAAAAGTGGTCGACATACCGTGACTACCTCGCCGCGAAGGAATTGTTCCAAAGAATTGATTGATATCGTCACGAGTATAGCTGTTCAAGCTCTGTAGATCAAACGAGATAAGTTGGATGTACTTCCGCGGGGTATACCCCCGAAAGCAAGTAGTCACTTACCGCGGAGAAAGCGCGTCTGCGAGTCTTGAAACGATCAACTTGATCTTCTTTTCCGTAATAGACATCAGGGTTGGAGTAAGGATCCACGGAGCCCATCCGGGAATGGTCGTTTGGTGAGCTCATGGTGAAGACAATAATAAAAAATGAGGGCAAAAGCCAAAAGCCAAAATCTGAGATTGTGCGTCACGCAAGGAAGCGTCCACACCGACTGGAGGCTCGAGCTGTAAGCTTAGGACAGCCACGTACAGGGGATATGGTGGGGGTGTGGCTGTTGTTGTACAGTGCGGTCTGAATCAGAGTCAGGGGCGAGACTTGTCTCGGTCCAGAAGAGTACTGTAGATGGGTTGTAAGCTGTGAGTGTAAGTTGTATGATACAATATCAAGATGAGATGAGATGAATAAGATATGTTCAAGAATGAACCTGGCAGAAGAAGTGGGACAATGACGGCAAGACCGATGATGTCGCCGCTCCACTGATTTTGCCCCCGATAAGGTGATAAGAGAATTCTACTGAAGGGTGATGAACTTTTTCGTTTCTTTTTCATTGACATATAATAACATATAATATATACGAACTACCCGGATGCAGCCCAGGAGTGACTCGATTTTAAGCGGGTTCTGGCTGCGGTCGATGTGCCGCCCAGCCACGCGGTGGAATGTGAGGCTTCGATTGCGATATGCACCCCACGAATCAGGTGGGATTGGAATATCTACTGTATCTAAAATGAGAAATTGAAATGGTCATGTGAGACATATACATATACTTTATTTACACACTAGCTTGCAATTAAGAAAAGGAGAAACGCCACAAGCTACTATCTACAGCTTGGCGGCAATAGCGCTGCCACCATCAACCGGAATAGTCGCTCCATTAATATACGCTCCGGCACGGCTACTCAAGAACAAGCATGCACCAGCAACATCCTGTGGGGTTCCAATACGGCCCAGAGGCACACCAGCCTTGATAGTCTCGCCGAATGCCTCGAGCGTAGCAGCCATCATCTTACTCTCAAAAGGACCGCAGGCCAAGGTATTCGAGGTGACATTACGCTTGCCCAGGTGATTAGCGAGGACGCGGCTGAGGTGGTGCAGACCGGCCTTGCTGGAACTATAAGCGAATGTCTCGAGCGAGGGAACACGGAGCCCGTCAATGCTGCCAATGTTGATGATGCGGGCGGGATCATTCGGCGCCGAGGCCTTCTCCAGCAACGGTGTAACGAGCTGGGTGAGATCGAAGACGCGGTGGAGGTTAAGGGTGAGGACTCGAGTGAAAGCTTCGGAGGGGTATTCGTCGTAGGGGGCACCCCAGTTCGAGCCGGAGTTGTTGACCAGGACGTGGAGCTCTGGGGGAGGGGATGGCTGTTAGTTTGGGTTGGTATTTCCGCTAAGCATGGGGTTTCTTACTGCTCTCGCGCTTTCCCAGCTCCTCGGCTAGCCTCTTCACGTCTTCATACTTGTAGAAGTTGGCAGGGATGGCGTATGCCTTTCCCTTGCCCAGGGCACTGAGCTCGCTGGCCGCTTGCTCGCAGGCCTTTGCGTCTCGGGATGAGATGTAGACTGTAGCTCCGTTTGTCACATAGCCTTCGGAGATCATGCGACCGATGCCCTTGGCTCCGCCGGTGACCAGCACCACCTTGCCCTGTGCTGTGTTAGTGGTTGCCGGAGTAGAGTACGCGGCAATCTAACCTTGACGTTGAAAAGACTTTCAGAATCCATTGTTAATATGCTTTAATTTGTGATACAGACAGTACAAAAAGAACAGATGCTACTCTATTATATCAACGGACTTGTAGCTCTTGCTGGACATACCCGAAGGCCGAGACTAATCAGCCGAGGCTCACGGGTCTGGAACATTGTTCCACCGAGAAAATTACACTAGGCCTATTCAGGGCTTGACTTAGGGCAGGATTGTCAGGGTTTCGCGGGGTCTCAAGTTGTCTTGTTTTCATCCATTGTACACGTATATACCCCCGTTAGAGTTGTTTGAAGTTATTGTTTTCTATTCTCAATTTTTACCATGGAGGAACTCCTGTCCAAGCATCGCAAAGAGCAAAAAGATCTCCAAGGAAAGATCACTCAAAAGAAAAAGTCGGCCACCAAGAAAACTCGCAAAGGCGTCAACGATGAATGCGAACGAATGCAGCAGCAGCTGTCCGAAAAACACAAGACCGAGATCGCTCATGTGAATGGGGATCCAGTCGAAGGACTGGAAGATCTCAACCTGGAAGACGAACAAAGAGACGAAGAGCCAAACGAAGATAAACCACCCCAAAAGCAAGCACCACCCACCGAACCAAACCCCGAACCCACCGTCACACCAAACGGCAAGAAACCAAACCGCCAAAAAGCCCGCCTTGCCCGACGCGCCGCCGAGCAAGAAGCTGCCTCAGCCGCCGCCGCAGAAGAAGCCAAAACGCAAGTCAACTACCGCGGCAACGAACAAGAAGTAATGGACGCAGTCTTCAAAAAGCTCAACCTAAAAGAAGTGGAAATAACCCCAGACGGGCACTGCCTCTACTCAGCAATCGCGAAACAACTCGACGAATCTGGTCTAGGTCTACGCCCCGACCCAAGCCGCATCATCCTCCAGCCCTCAACACAATCGCGCATCGACACCGTCGCCTCGCCACAGCATGACGGCTATAGAGCCGTGCGCGCAGTCACGGCGGACTTTATCACGGAGCATAAAGGGGATTTCGAGGCGTTTATGGAGGAGCCTATTGATTCTTATACGCGCAAGATCAAATTGACGGCTGAGTGGGGTGGGCAGTTGGAGTTGCAGGCTATTGCGCGGGCGTATGGGGTTGAGATCAATGTTGTGCAGAGTGACGGGCGCATGGAGAAGATTGAGTCTGGGGATGGGGATAGTCTCGATGAAGGGGAGAAGGATAAGCGGATTATTTGGCTTGCTTATTATAAGTTCTCTTATTCTTTAGGTTGTCACTATAATTTGCTCAAAAAATGTTAGGATTAAGAGAGGGAGACAGGTATTGCGGTACACTATAAATGCGGTTATTCCCACTTTCACTGTAAGAATCTATATCAACCACGTATTTAGGTTCACCGGGCGAGTCACGGGATAAATGCACCACAAACCCTTGGAATATGGACGGTGCTGTTATTTTCTTTGGCGCGGTTGTGATGTTCCCCAGATATGGAACTACCACTACTTCAGAGAGTCAAGATAAGAAGGCCTAGGATACTGGACACTCATAATGTCATTTCATTTCGTCTCGGTCTTTTCAGTGGTGTCTCGTTGTGGTTTCTGTCACATACGCAGATCTGGTTCTATATTCTGTTTGGTTGGATGTTTGTCGGACTGGATCTAGTTACGGCGACGCCAGATTGATACTCGGTCGTGGATCACTCCGTTCTCGCCCTGGCCTGCCTCGTGCGTGCGCTCGGGCTGCCAGTATGCCACTCTTTCCAGACCGCCTGGGCTGCTGGGCTGCAGGGGGTTGTACTTGACGGCGCCTTTGGCGTCGTAGGGTACATCTTCACCTGGGTGGCTCAGGTGGGCGATATAAGCCTCCGAAGGGGAGGCGTATGGGGGACCTGCAGCCTGAGGATCCTTATGGCGGGGGAACTCAAGACAGATCAGGTTACCAGATGGCGAAGGAGCCAGAAGCTGGGTCTGACGAAGCGCCCATTTAGGACGCAGTGATGGGTCCAGAGCACAGAAGAACTAGACAACAGTCAGACCGAGAACATATAGTATATGAATAGTGAGTCGCGTGACATACCGTATAATCATAAATAATATCAAACCCATTCAACCCAACGCCGGCCTTCTGCAACCAAGCATCATCAAAGAAATCACCCCGAAGCCAAGTCACCGACCCAGCCCCAACAGTCTGATCGCGAACCCGGTACCAATTGGCATTGTCCTTCTCCTCCTTCTGACACGCCTCGACCGCAGCCGCACTGTACTCCAGTCCATACGCGTCATAGCCAAAGCTCGCGAGCAGGAGGACGTCCACGCCGCGCCCACAGCCCGGGACTAGAGCCTTGCGTCTGTACGACTGGCCCTGTGCGTCTGTAGCCAGGGGCGCGCCAATGGTTGGCCGCTGCTTCACGAGAGTGTCTTCCAGAGCTGGGTTGGGGAAGCCTCGGTCCCAGGGGAGGTTGTCACCCTTGTCCCAGAGGGAAGCCCAGCCTTCGACGTAGTTGTCGCCCTTATATTGGGGTTGGGCGAGGTGGGCTTGCATCTTCTTGGGGTCCTTGGTTTGCGTTGGGGCTGCCATGTTGTGGTACGTTGAACTGTTGTGTGCGGGGAGAGGTTCGGGAGTGAGTGGGTTCGATATGGGAGGATTCGAGTCGACATCTAGAGTTCACCGTCTTTTGGGCTTATTAATCACCTCCTTGCAGACCTCCTGTTGTTAGTGATTGTCAGCGCGAAGTGGGATGTTTGAAGCTCTGTGATGTATAAAATTGTATACATCCACCCTGTCTTGGACCTTGCCAAGCTATCAAGGGGGGATCAGGTTGAGGGGCATGTTCTACACTTAATAAACTGTGGATATGATCACGCAATAGCTGTCAAACTCCAAAATGAGTCTATTGCGACGTTATCTGATGCTATCTCATCTTTGCATCTTTGCTCGCATCTGGGCTTCTCTAAGGGCGGGATGGTCCGCCTCATATTTGCCGACGGAAGAACGGCACATTCGCGCTCAACGCTGACTGGTCCTCACGGTCAACCAGGATTCAAAAGGTTATGGGTCTTTGGACGGATAAGTATCCAGAAGCCAAAGATGTCTCTAGGTGCATATTTAGCTCGGTCGTCGTCGGTGCTTGTCGGTGTTCCGAATGTGCTCCGCATGCAGACTTTGAAGGCATTTCTGATGTTTCTGGGAAGCCAAGAGACTTCTACAACTTGAACCTGCCGATCTTCATAGTCTGATCGGTTTGCATCATTGATACTCAGTCGGGCGCATATCAGGGGAGGGATCCACGTTAGGAATCAGGTTCACCTCCGGGGCTCGCAAGGTTGCTCTTGCTCTTTTGTCTACTTGGACTCGTTTCGATCTTGCATCTGAATTCCCACCCAGTCACTCAGGCGCGCATCTTATTGGAGTTTGTGGCCGTTGATCGCAGTTCGCAACGTTTCATACAAGTGATCGTCAGGACCCTGTTTCTCCTTTGGTCCATGCCTCAGACTTCGCCACTGGGCTATCCTGATTCGAATCGTTTTCTCGGCCTACTGTGAAATGAAAGATACTGTGCACTGGGGTACTCATTCAACATGCATAAGAATTCAAATCAGGAAAGCACTGTCGCTTCGACTTTGCCGACATCCTCAGCGGGTAGTGGAGAACATTCAACCATATCAGCCGAGGCAAAATCCGAAATCGACCACGACACCCACTCGCGATCGGATGCATCCAGCATTCATGATGACGGTCCAACTGAAGATCATGACCTGGAGAATACACTTCCTCGTTTACAGCGTCAGTCCACGGAGCTCGGCCCAGCTGTCAAAGTCGCGCGGTTGAAGCGGAGGGGATTGCTCGGTCAACTCGCTCTGGTGGCTGAGGTTGAGAATCCAAAGACATACCCCCGGAGGATGAAGTGGTTCATTACATTCATCGTCGCTCTGGCTGGATCTACTGCGCCGCTGGGTAGCGCGATCTTTTTCCGTGAGTCTTCTTCACTTTGTTCCTGGGTCGTATCTAATCAATCGATCAGCCTCACTGTCCCAAGTAACCAAAGAACTGAATACGACAACTACTATTGCCAATCTCACGATCGCGCTGTATATGCTGGCTATGGCGATCTTCCCCTTGTGGTGGTCTTCTTTTAGTGAGCGACTCGGACGACGGACAATCTACCTGGTTTCCTTCGCTCTGTTCGCGGTCTTCAACTGTCTCTGCGCCATTTCTAGCTCTATCGCGATGCTGATTGTCATGCGTATGTTGAGTGGTGGTGCTTCTGCCTCCGTTCAGGCAGTCGGTGCCGGTACCATCGCCGATCTTTGGGAGCCAAGGGAGAGAGGACGGGCCATGGGGATTTTCTACCTGGGCCCGCTCTGTGGTCCTTTACTGGCACCTATCATTGGAGGTCTCTTGGCAGAGCGTTGGGGTTGGCGCAGTACCATGTGGTTTAGTGCAGCCTTTGGTGCGGTAACTCTCATCTTTATCCTCTTCGCCCTTCCAGAAACGTTGGTTACGCAGAAACCCGTCTTGCCTGAACTGGAAGACGATGAGGATCCAGCTGTTAGTCGCTCGCTCAGTCGAGTGTCATCACGACAGGTCGTTCGGTCCACCACACGCTGGCTGAAGATGTTGAAAATGGTTTTCATTGACCCGCTGAAAATCATCCTCTACCTGCGCTTTCTTCCTGTACTCCTGACTGTCTACTATGCCAGTATCACATTTGGCTCCCTGTACGTTCTCAATGTCAGCGTCGAAGAGACATTCGGCAAGGAACCGTATAACTTCTCAACCATCATCGTTGGTTTGCTGTACATTCCAAACTCACTGGGGTACATGGTGACCAGTACCTTTGGTGGAAAATGGTCAGATAAAATCATGCAACGCGAGGCAAAGAAGGCAAACCGTTACGATGAAAAGGGTAGACTAATCCTTCGCCCTGAGGATCGCATGCGTGAGAATGCCTGGCTCGGTGCTTTCTTGTACCCCGCAGCATTCATTTGGTATGGATGGGCAGCAGAGAAGGGAGTGTTCTGGCTGGTTCCGGTGTGTCACGACTGATCCAAAATGCGACAACTCTCCAGTAATCCCACTAACATCCATTTCCTAGATGATCGCCAACTTCTTCTTCGGCGTGGGCTCCATGCTCATCTTCAGCATGGTCACCACCATGCTAACAGAATTCATGCCAAAGAAATCTTCCGAGGGAGTCGCCCTCAACAACTTCGTGCGAAATATCTTTTCCTGCGTGGGCTCTCTTGTCACCGCCCCAATCATCGGCGCCATCGGCAACGGCTGGCTCTTCACTATCCTTGGTCTCGTCGGCTTCGCAAGTAGCTCCGTCATTTACATGATGCGAGTCTATGGTCCTCGCTGGAGAAAGACCATGGATGCTCGCATGCGTTGATTGCACGTTTGATGATCTGCATTTTGGGGTTTGCATTTGATATCCGGTGCTCAATTTATTGTTATACATTTCGAGGGGTCTGGTCTGCACGTCTGCAGCAACCGAGATGTTGTTTTTTCTGTTCTGCACATACTTTTCATGAATTTTGGATATGAACCAAGCGAAACTATTCATACCTGTCTCCCACTTTCTATGTTGAGCCTGCCTTGGCTACCTTCTTTTCATTTTCTTCGTGTATAGTCTTTAGAGTTGGCTGTTTCCTATTTCGAGGGACCAAAACCAGCCATGGCCAAAAATGATACCCAATCTCAAGTTGAACTTTATTTTTAGGATCTATTCGACATGAAGTTACGAATAAACGTTGCGATCCCTGGGATTCTAGGCCTCTTTGCTTCGCTGCCTCTTTTCAGTGTTATAAATAGGCTATTCTAGCATAGAGTGAACATCACGCAGCTTTGCCATGTGGAATCCGACAATAACGCCCTCTCTAGCTTGGAATGCCCGGTTTATCTCATCGGCGACATGCACTCTAAACTAGTAATTCTCAGACCGTCGAGTCATGCTACCGAATTCCTTGAGGTGTCTTCGATCGAGGTTTGCTCTATCATCTATGCTTCAACTGCTTGCCAGGAGAACCTATATTCTACCAGCGCAATAGTCTAGAAGGCTAGGAAGGGTCAACATCCTTCACCTTTTACCGAGAAACGAGTCACAGTAAATCCAGCCGAACCGAGCAAGAGTCGTGTTTCCCAGCCTAATTCCCAACACAGACCACTCTTCGTCAGCATGTTGTTGTGTTGGTAGGTCGCGCTCTCATTATTTCGCACGCCTTAGTAGTTCATGTTTGACCTGTTTGCAATTTACCCATTGTAGTCGGTGTGACGCGGCAGAACACCGCGGCTCTCAGGTGATTTCTAAAACCCTGGTGTTATAATGAATCGGGAATTTGGATGTCTTCAATTTCAACAACTAAAGCCCTCCCATGGGGATGGATTATGGAATGTTGCATGTGCCTGGGTGCGAACAAATCACCGGGAACGGAAAGCATTCAGATTGAGAAGAGATCAGGGACCATTCCCTTCTCCAATATCACCAACGCTCCGTATCCCGAGCGAAAACACTAGATGGCGTGATCTGACATGGATGGGGATCTCTTGCTTGTCATGTGCTACAGAGCGGGCAGCTAGACAAATCCTTCTCGTGCCTGGTCGACGGACGGAATAACCACCACAAACCATGAAAATTTAGATAAAACAGTAGGACAAGCACGTTCAACACGGCTCCGCCCGTCTGCAGCTGCGCGGCAACTCAGAAGGTCAGTGAGAAGACTAGTGAGGAGTCTGGGCTCTCGTCATTCCACTTCTCATTCTCAACCGCCAGAACTTCAGAGCTAATTCGGAAATTCAGCCTTCAAGCCCATGCTACCGTCAAAATAGCCTAAACGGGAGATCGATATTTAGGGCAAAATCAGAGTTTTCTAGCGTACGCCTTAGCCAGAATGCTCTCATGCTGACCGGAAGCTCCGTCGGCGTCCTCTACAACGAAAAGGAAAATACAACACTTGGCTTCTGCTAGGCGAGTTTGCCAATATTCAATTTCATCCACTGGCTACTATTCTCTCCGCATGGCTTATGTGGGGACCACGAAATAAAAATATAGTGCATTACAAACAGCCACTACTTTATTTGTCAGGTACAGTAAATCATACCACGGGATCCTTCCGACCCTAGTGCATCCGCAATAAAACGGCGTCCGCTGGCTGACGCTGACTACATGACTAGTGTGCTGAACTGTGGGCCAAGGAGTGTCAACCGTTGATCCACTAGAATAGGTTTGACCATATTCCGCATTGGGAGACTTTCCTTCAATAGACACACATGCATACCCGAGCATGTAATATTCCTATAGACCGCCAACGGGGCCAGATGACAATACAACCCTTGTGGGTGCCACGTTTGGGCGCCAACGCAGTGTCTACCCACCACCCCATCTTGCGGCGTAAGATGAGACATTTAATCTGTATCATCGGACATACATACTGTTCCGGATACAGTACATGCATACGATTTCGCGTGGGTATGTGTATGTGTACTCTGGTATTGGTGTAATTACGTGCTCAGCACTATACGAGACATCGATACATTCGTATTAGATGCCACTATACATACTGCGCAGCGTACATAGTGTGATGCATATTAACTTGAAAACTTTATAATCGGAAGATACCGTACGTTGTATGGCGGTACGTAAGTTTGTATGGTAATTGGTTGCGTAATAATGATATGTATCTGTATATTACGAATTACTAAACTTACCATACATACAGAAATGTCAGTCATGATGTACACTACGTACCGGCCCCATCCGCCTCTAGTGTTTCTTTAGTTCCAGATCAAAACTGAGCTAAATCACTAGTGCTGATGGCTTTGGCATGCTTGAGTGATTTATAATGATAAAGATGTAACGTAATAGTGTCATTTTATAAGAAATGCAGAGGGCTAGATCACAACACTCATCGCGCAGTCCGCCACCATTATGCACTGGTGAAGCCACGAGTCTGACGAGGTTCAGCTGACTCTGAGGAAAAGCAGAAAGATGTTTAATACGTTTTTTTCCTAACTAATAGATGCAACACGGCCTATTAGGACATCATGCTTGCGTGGCTAATCAACGTACGGCGAATCACCTCGTGCTACAGGACTAAGTATTGACGGCATGATGCCGGCGTTTGGCATTTTTCCCTCGACAAACAATCTGCATACTGTGCAATGTGGATGATATTACTTTCCACGTTTCTGAAAACTGACAGGAAAGTGGAAGTGGATCATTGTTTCTCTTGGCTATGCAACAGTGTCTGCTTGCTGATTTCGCAGGCAATTAGTACTATCATAATCCAGACTAGAGTAAAAGTAGAATTTGATGTGGACGCAGAAGAAGTCAGGGAGAAACGGAGAGGCCTAAATGCTGACTAGAAACATGGTACATTGCAGGGAGGGTGGGATATAGATGAAGGGATTGCTTATAGCCTGTTTCAATAAAACTTCTATTCGTTTTTATAGTCTCTTCAATCGAAGGAGTGGTTCATATCTTGCTGCTTTGCGTACATTCAACGGCATTGTTTCCTTCAGTACTTGCTGCAAACAGTTGAAAAGTTTATCATTCTCTTCGACATGTCTCCAAGGGTGGAACACGACAGCGGACACGGTTTGAACAACACCATAGATTTGGCACCAATGGCTATAACGAATGGTACTTCAATTTCGAGTTCTGTATATTTTCTGTTAGCTAATCCCCTAGCAGATGAGGCCAAAGAAAAACCAGCATCAGACGCTCTAAGATCAGCTGAAAATCACGCATCCCTAACTACACCGGAAGAGAGAGCATTGAGACCCAGGCTCATCGTTCTTAGCGCTGAAAGCGAAGATGGTTGCAGGGAGCTGGCTAGAAGTATTGCAAGCCATGTCATAGGGCAAAGTGCATCTGTTCATGCCGACGCTCTGCTCGACCAGCTGTCTGGGAAATTGAGCCAGAGGCCGGTGTTTGAATATCGGGTGGCCTTTCTGGCATATGCATTGGACGACCTAGTGGGACAGCTTCGGACGCTGGAGCAAGAACCCATCATTCGACAAAACAAAAAGAGCTTTGACAGAATGGCATTTATCTTCAGCGGCCAAGGTGGACAATACCCGCAAATGGGTGAGTCGCTCGATGTCTGCCCTGTGTACGCGAAGTCAATTGCTCGTGCTTCTCAACATCTAGCTGCAATCGGTTGCCCATGGGACCTGGTGACCGAAATCACCAAACATCCCGAAAGCTCTCAAATCGAGGAGGCGGAATTCTCGTATCCTATGACTGTGGCCGTGCAGCTTGCCATCACAGAAGTCTTCGCCGAGCTTGGAGTAAATCCATCTTTTGTTTTGGGACATTCGAGTGGTGAACTGGCGGCTGCATACTGCGCCAAGGCAATATCATTTGAAGACGCAGTAACGGTGGCATATCATAGTGGCCGGCTGATCAGTGACTTAAAGAGGAAAAGGAGAGAGCTGCCCGGTGGTATGCTAGCGGTTGGCGCCTCTTGCGATGTGGTCAATGCTTTCATGAAAACAGATGCAAATGCAGCCACCACTGGAACAATCAAAATAGCTTGCATTAACAGTCCTTCGAGTGTCACGGTGTCTGGGGATGAGAGCGCCATTCTAAATCTGCAACAGAAATTGGAGGATAGAGGGATTTTCAACCAAAAACTGCACACAGGCGGCGCAGCGTATCATTCGCACCAAATGACTCAGATCGCAGCCGAACTCTCACAGAAGTTAGATACTATCAAGGGAGCTCGGACTGACCCTTCTGTCACAATGATTTCCTCTTTAACAGGGGATGCTACGCGAGAAACAATCCTGGGAAAGGATTATTGGGTGCAAAACCTGACTTCCCCTGTTCACTTCATGGAGGCAACCGAGACACTGTGCCAAAAGTCTTTTGGTTCAAATCAAGTCGATCTCTTAGTAGAGATTGGGCCTCATTCCCAACTCGACAAACCTATCAAACAGACTCTCCAGGCGCTTTTCGGTGACGACCCTGAAATATCCTATACCGGCACTTTGAGAAGAGGATTCGATGCTGAGACTTGCTTGCTCGATACTCTGAGAATTCTGTTTCTTGAAGGGTTTTCCGTGAGCCCACAGCTAGCGGTTCCTGCAAGTGACCCGCAAGCTGTAGCAGACCTTCCCGATTGGTCGTTTTATGATTCAACATGTTCTGCCCAAAAGAAACCCATTTCGATGGTGGATGACGAGCCGGTTCCGGCATCCCAGAGCCCATCAAAAATGGGGCGTCTACAGCCAGACCGAGGATGGTGGAGATCGACTCGTCCTGCGACCAAGAGTTCCAAGAGACAAGCACCCGAGACAGAAAATGAGAGGATCCTCCACCGCATAATGTGCAAGGCTTTCGGTGTGCATGATGAGTTGATAGGTACCGAGGACCATTTCTTCCACCTGGGAGGTGACTCCGTCTTAGGGGTGAATATCTCTTCGGCTGCAAGACAAGCAGGATTGAATCTCCCCGTGTCCACCATCCTTAGTCACCCGAGATTGGTCGACATGGCACAGGCAGCCAAACCACTTGTTGGCGAAGAAGATATCAAGATCGATCCATTCTCACTGGTTAAAGTTGACGTCTCAGATCTGGTGGCAGAAATAGCTCGCGACTGGCCGGTGAGCGCGTCGGAGATCGTGGACGTGTATCCCTGCACGCCCCTCCAAGAAGGCCTTATGGTGACCAGCCAAAGCGACCCGCGAACCTATACCTATCAAAATGTTTACAACTTGTCTCCAGCTATCGATGTGGAGAAGTTTTGCAAGGCATGGGAACATACCGTGAAGACCACCGTAATTCTCCGTACAACTATTGTTCCAACTCAATCCGCGGGGACCTGTCAAATTGTAACGACAAGAGAGATCAAGTGGCAATTTCCATCTGATCTGCAGGATTATCTCAAGTCTGACTTGGAAAAGGGCGTGGTCTATGGAGGCCCTCTTGCGCGATATGCCCTGTTCAAAGCCGACGATGGATCAATAAAATTCATCCTCACGGCTCACCATGCCCTGTATGATGGATGGTCCCGACCCCTAATTTGGAAGAAGATTGAAGAAAACTATCACTCCGATAGTCACAGAGCCATCGGCTCAATGCCGACTATTCCATTCAATTATTTCATTCGCCACTTACAAACAGCGGACCAAACATTGGTGGATGAGTTCTGGAGGACACAGCTGTCCGGCTCCACGCCATCAAGATTCCCACATGCGTTCCCTACGGGCTATCGACCACAGGTGAATGAGACTTTCGCACATAAATGCAAAGCCTTCACTCGGGATGGGGCGGGGGTCACCCGGTCCACACTTATCCGGGCAGCATGGGCGATATTGATGAACGAATATCATGAGGGCTGCAACGATGTTACCTATGGATTGACAACAAGCGGAAGACACGCTGATGTGCCTGGAATTGGGGAGATGATCGCTCCCACCATCACTACCGTGCCGTTTCGCCTGCAGATAGATCTTGACGAGTCCGTGGACACGTTCCTTCACAGAATACAGGCCCAAGGAATCAAAATGATTCCTTTCGAGCAGGCTGGATTGCAAAACATATCCAAACTCAATTCTGAATGCCGCCTTGCTTGTGAGTTCCAGCATGTTCTCGTTATCCAACCAGAGCAGAAGAATGGCACTGGGCAAGTCTTCCCTGGAATCACATCCATCCAGGCCACTGAGCTTCATGCCTATGCGCTTAGTGCACAGTGTATGCTCAGTGCCGATAATGTCAAAATTCAGATTGAGTTTGATAATTCTCTGATCAGCTCATTCCAGGTAAAACACATTTGCAGCCAGTTCGAAAGTATATTGGGTCAGCTATCTCGTGGTGGACAACGTTCAGTTCGTGAACTACATGCTTTTAGCGAGCTAGACATGAAGCAGGTACTGAATTGGAATGACAAATTACCCCAGGTAGAAACTCGGACCGTGACTGCACTGATCGAGGCCCAAATGCGTGAACAACCGCACGCTCCCGCGATTTGCTCTTGGGATGGAGATTTCACATATCAACAACTCGATAGGCTGTCAAACCGTCTTGCTCGTCATTTGGTTGATTTGGAGGTTGGACCGGAAGTCTTTGTGCCGTATTGTTTCCCCAAGTCTGCTATGACCATTGTCGCTATGCTGGCCATTGTCAAGGCTGGAGGTGCTGGTGTGCCGTTGGACCCTGAATACCCCGTTGAAAGAACCCAGGGCATTGCTAGGGATGCCGGTGCAACGGTTCTCATTACCACCTCAGAGCTGAGTACTAAGTTTGAAGGCATTGTACCCACAGTCGTGTATTTGAGCGAGGATTTCCTTAATCGCATCACCCGGGAAGATCCGATCTTACCACATCGTGCTCAACCTCGGAATGCACTGTATATTCCCTTCACATCCGGGAGTACTGGGAAGCCCAAGGGTATTGTGATTGAGCATAGCATGTTTGCTTCCAGTGCAGCAGCTCACGGCGAGCTTCTCGGCCTTGGACCACATTCGAGAGTGTTCCAATTTGCTGCTTATACTTTCGATGTGAATTTTGCAGATATTTTCACCTCCTTGATTCGAGGCGCTTGCATTTGTATTCCATCCGACGTGGAAAGGATGAACGACATCACAGGAGCCATCAACCGAACGAGAGCCAATTCCGCAGTTCTAACTCCAACTGTCGCAGCAATGTTCTGCCCTGATCAAGTTCCAACGCTGAAAACACTCATACTTGGAGGGGAACCTTTGACCCGAGAAAACGTTCGAGTTTGGGCAGATAATGTCAGTCTCTGGAACACGTTTGGGCCAGCAGAATGCTGCGTGTACTGCGCGGCATATCCTCTTCGAACCTCAGACAGTGATCCAGCCGTGTTAGGCTACGCTGTTGGATCGATCAACTGGGTGGTCAATCCATCTGACCACAATAGGCTCAGTCCTGTTGGCTGTATCGGAGAGTTGGTCGTCCAGGGTCCAATGGTCTCCCGCGGCTACCTCAATGATCCTGACAAGACCAATGCTGCGTTCATCGAGAATCCAGCGTGGCTACCGGTTAATTCCCCCGAAGAGCATCGGAGGGTCTATAAAACCGGAGACCTTGTGAGGTACAATGCAGATGGAACCCTAAACTTTATTGGGCGCAAAGATACTCAAGTGAAGGTCCATGGCCAACGGGTTGAGCTTGAAGAAATCGAGGCCCACCTCTCCTACAGCTCACAAATCAAACATGCACTGTTGGCTGTTCCGGGCTGTGGACTCTATTCTGGGCGACTTGTTTGCCTCTTGTCCCTGGGTGAGGCGACTGGAATGGACAAAAACAGAAGATCAAACGGCATTGAACTGATTGACAGTTCCCAGAAAGCTACCGCCGTCCAAGTGGTTTCAATGACTCGCAATTACCTGGAAGCAAAGTTGCCTCGATACATGATACCTGCGGCCTGGGTAGTTCTGAAAAGCATCCCCATGAATGCCTCTCGCAAGTTGGACAGGAAACTTCTGAAGAACTGGCTGGAGACAATTGATGAAAGTACATATCGCTCCATCGCCGATGTGTCAAATCTCAAAGCGACCAGACAACCCACCACAGACTTGGAAAAGCAGATCTGCAACACGATCAGTGTTGTACTCGCGTTGCCAAATGACTCAGTTGGATTAGAACATAGCTTTTTGTGGCTAGGTGGCGATTCAATTTCAGCGATGCAACTGATGTCACGCCTTCGAACCATGAACATCCGCCTTAGTGTGCAGGATATCCTACGCTATCGTACCGTCGAGGCATTGGTATCCCAGGCACACATAAGTCATCAAGTAAGGGACGATGTTCTCGTCTTTGAAGAAATCGTCGGCTGGTTCGACCTCACACCGATCCAAAAAATGTTCTTCGAAAAGCAACCTGATGGACAGAATCATTTCAACCAGAGCTTTGCGCTCAAGCTAGCCATAAATGTTTCAGACAATGAGCTTGAGCAGGCATTGCAGACTCTGATTGACCGACATCCCATGCTTCGTTGCCGATACAGTAAAAGCGAAGGAGATGGCAATTGGCGACAGAGGGTCACGTCCGAAGTAGCGGAGTCATTACTGTTCCTGCCCTCACAGCGGCTAAATTATGATGAAATGACAGGGACGTTCCGTGACATGCAAACCCAGCTCGACGTGGAGAAAGGGCCAATACTTGCTGGGACGACTTGCTATGCCAACAAATCTCAATATCTTTTCCTGACAGTCCACCATCTGGTAGTTGACCTCGTGTCCTGGCGTGTTATATTGGAAGAACTGGAGGAGCTGTTGATACATGGTGCACTTCAATCGGAGCCCAGCATCAGCTATGGGAACTGGGCTAAACTACAGGCTCAATACGCCGAAAGCAGCCTGTCACCAGAAGATGTATTGCGTGCAGATGCTCTGAGCCCCGATTTTGAATACTGGGGAATGTTGAACCAGCCTAATATTGTAGCAGAAGCTATCGAGAGCTCGTTTTTCCTCGACAAGGAACGAACGAGCCTTTTGCTGGGAGATAGCCAGGAGACCCTAGGCACGCAGCCAGTTGAAGTGATGGTAGCAGCCCTAATTCACTCTTTTCGCAAGGTCTTTCATGATCGACAGGTTCCAGCGGTGTTTATGGAGGGCCACGGTCGCGAGTCTTGGAATCCAGCGATTGACATCACCCGTACCGTGGGATGGTTTACCACTATGTATCCAGTCAGTGTGGAGCTGGGAGGTGACAATGACTGGTTCCAGACGGTGAGGAAAACGAGGGATGCTCGTAGACGATTGTCTCACAACGGGTGGTCATACTTCACAGCAAGGCACCTCAACCCGCAGGCGTCACAGTTGGTTGACACCTCCGACATGGAAATTTTGTTCAACTATCTTGGCTTGTATCAGCAGTTCCAGAGGCCGGACTCTTTGTTTCAACCATCAGGCATTGCCGCACAAGCTCTCCAGGACTTCAGCCCGACCATGGAGCGCTATGCATTGTTTGAAATTTCGGCCGCTGTCGAGAATGGCTGTTTACACTTTACCTTTGCAGTCAACAAGCATATGGAACATCAGCTCGATATCCAGCACTGGGTGACAGAGTGCCGCCGCGTTTTGGAGGACGGCATTGATCAACTCATGGAGCAAACTGACATCGCCACTCTTGGCGACTTCAGTACGCTGTTGGAGACCCCTTCAGGCATTCGCAGATTGGCGGAAGGAATTCTGCCTGCCATCAACATTTCGGGCATTGATCAGATTGAAAATGTCCTCCCCTGCTCGACCATGCAACTTGGAATCTTGCTGGGCCAACTGAAGTCGCCTGGTGCCTACGAACTCTACACCATCCAAGAAGCAACTTGTGGTGAGAACTGCGACGCTGATGCTGAAAGGATTTTGCTGGCGTGGCAAGAAGTTGTAGATCGCCATGCAGCGTTAAGGACCATTTTCATTCGGAGCAGTGAATCTGATACCCTGTGGGGTCAGCTTGTGTTAAAACAGATGCAAGCGTCCGTTTGCGAAATCATCGATGAAGATCCAGTCTCGGCTTTGAGAAAGACAGAACCATTGGGGGCCGTGGAAGGAGTCGCTCCGCACCGTTTCACCTTGTGCCGTGGCACTAATGGCCGTCTCCTTTTCAAACTCGAACTCAGCCATGCACTGGTTGATGGCACATCCATGCAAATCATCCTAAGGGACATCAAACTTGCGTTCAGCGGGCAACTTTGTCAGGTGTTGCCATCGCTGCCTTACAGTGATTATGTGACTTTCCTCCAACAGCAACGGAAAAGGACTTCTCTGGAATATTGGAAAGGATATCTACAGGGCATCCAGCCATGCAAATTTCCAATACTTGATGATGGGCGTCCCCAGGTCCACCAGTGGAAGACAGTCAAAATGGATGTGCCGGAAGCGACTCAGTCTGTTATACGCCAGTTCTCAGACACGCACGGCATGACTCTTGCGAATATCGTGCAAGCTGCTTGGGCAATAGTTCTGCGGATCTTCACAAACAACAACAGTGTCGCTTATGGATATCTGACATCCGGTCGTGATGCTCCAATTCTGGGCATTGAAGATGCCGTAGGCCCTTATATCAACATGCTGGTTTGCAGGATGGAATTTGACCACTCGACCTCTGCGCTGGGTACTCTACAGATCATTCAAGACGACTACCTGCGAGGTATTCCTCATCAATACGTCTCACTTGGTGAGATACAACATGCTATTGGAATGTCGGGCCAGGCTCTTTTCAATACGGCCATTTCCTTCCAAAGGCGACCCTCTCCAACCGAATTGATGAAACTTTCCCTGACTTCCGTCTATGAATATGATCCCTCGGAATTTGAAATCGCAGTAAACGTCCTCATGGGCGCTGGAGGGACAGAAATCCATCTTACCCACCAGACTTCCAGAATATCAAGTGGACAAGCCACCAACGTCGCCAGTGTCTACCGAACCATAATTGCCTCTCTTTTAGCAAGTCCACAAACACTGGTATCAGATATGAACGTGATGAGCACCGAAAGCAAACACCATTTGCAACAGTGGGCTGCTAACATACCGCCCACGATCAATTCATGTATCCACGATGTGATATCGGAGCAAGCGCGCAATACACCAAATGCCCCTGCACTTCACTCCTGGGAAGGTGACTATACTTATGCTGAGCTGGACTGTGCCTCAACTCGGTTGGCACAACATTTATCTAGCTACGGGATAAAACCGGATGACTGCATCCCGCTTTGCTTTGAAAAGTCTCTTTACACTGCCATTGCATTGCTGGCTGTTCTCAAAACTGGCGGAGCCTTTGTGCTGCTTGACCCTAAGCATCCGCCCGAACGCCTCAAGGGGCTGTTGAAGGATCTCAATGCGCGGTTTATCATCGCTTCGGAAAGTACGCGGGAACATTGTGCAACTATGATTGAAACGGTGGTTGTCGTATCGCCGGCAATTCTTGGTTCCTTACCAGAGGGTGATAACGGTGAAGTTTCAACGGCGGTCACACCTGGAAACATCATGTATGTTCAATTTACATCTGGGTCCACCGGAAAGCCCAAGGGTGTCGTGATCGAGCACTCTGCTGCATGTTCCTCGATCCATTACCACGGTCCAGTGATGGGATTTGGTCCCACCACTCGTACATTCCAGTTCTCCTCGTACACATTTGACGCGGTCATTCTCGAGATCTTCACAACACTGTATCATGGTGGGTGCGTTTGCATACCTTCAGACGATGACCGGATGAGCCACATGGCGGATGCCATGCGAAAGATGAAAGTCAATATGATGTTTACGACCCCGACTTTGGCTCAACTGTTCAAACCAGAAGACGTTCCTTCGTTGAAGACCCTAATGGTTGGTGGTGAACTCATAGGGACTGGCACCACTGATATCTGGGCGAAGAAAGTGAACTTGATTGGGGCGTTTGGGCCAGCAGAGTGCACGATCTATTCCGCATATAATCCCCTGAGTACCAACAATTTCCGGCCAGAGGTGATTGGATACCCTGTCGGCTCAGTGGCCTGGCTTGCGGATCCCAGCAATCATGACAAGCTGGTGCCAGTTGGCGCTGTAGGAGAACTCATTGTTCAGGGACCGATCGTTGGCAGAGGCTACCTCAATGATCCACAGCGCACAGGGGCAAGCTTCCTCTCGAATACTACCTGGCTGTCGCAGTACAATGGCAGCCGGCAGCACCGCCTTTACAAGACCGGCGACCTTGCTCGCTACAATTCAGACGGGACACTCACCATACTCGGACGGAAGGATACGCAATTCAAGCTCAACGGACAACGCATTGAATTCACTGAGATTGAACACCACATCAAGGTTCACTTTCCAGGTGTCTTGCAGGTTGCCGCTGATGTGGTTAGTCCAGCCCATCTTGGTGAGCGGAAATTGCTTTCAGTCTTCATCAATTTGGAGGAAGCGGGCAACCAGTCTCAAGATGCAACTGGTAATCTTCTGCCCATGACAGAGAGCTGTCACGCGACGATGATTGAGATCGAAACTGTTTTAAGGAAGACTATGCCGCCGTACATGATTCCCCGGCTGTGGTTTCCCATTTCCCGGATGCCTTTATCGACATCCGGAAAGACAGAACGCAAAGAGTTGAGATTGTTAGGTGCTTCACTCTCAGAAGCGCAAGTGACTCAGTATGCTTTAGGAACTGGATCCAAGCAAGAGCCTTCAACTGAGATGGAACGCAAACTAGCAAAGCTCTGGCAGCGAATACTCAACGTTTCTTCTGTCGGCCGGGAAGATACATTCTTCCGAATAGGAGGTGATTCCATCAGTGCCATGCAACTTGCCTCGGCAGCACACAAGGCAGGAATTCAACTTACAGTGGCTGATATCTTCCACAATCCCAACTTGCTTGACATGGCTGCTAAAGTTCCCATATCACAGAGAAAGAACAAGGTTCCTGGGTCTGGACTTGTGACGCCTTTCAGACTTTTGAAACCCGGAATGAATCAATCCCAGTTCCTCAAGTCCGCCGCCGAGAAGGCTAACATTTATTACGATTGGGTGGAAGACATATTTCCTTGCACACCTTTGCAAGAGGGCATGATGGCACTTACGACCCGGGATGCAGGCTCCTATGGTTGGCAAGATGTTCTCGCACTTCCTGCTTCAATTGATTTAGACCGATACCGTTCGGCATGGCAAGCAGTAGTCGACGAGCTAGGAATTATGCGCACGCGACTTGTCCAGATGGATCACCATGGGACCTACCAAGTTGTTATCAAGCCCGAGCATAGTCCAATTGTCTGGAAGTATGGTGAGTCGCTGGAAGCCTACCTTGGCGAAGACAAGAAACTATCATTTGGCTACGGGACGCCCCTGTATCGATTTGGCATCGTGCACCAAGGGTCCAAAACATATTCTGTCTCCAGCGCCCACCACTCCATCTTAGATCGCTGGTCAATTTCACTGATGATGGACCGCCTCTCGTCTCACTATTTGGCACAAAAACCGCCACTTTCGCCGCCGTTCAACGGGTTTATCAAATGGATGTGCTCTCTTAACCCGGCAGCCTCCGATCAGTACTGGAGGTCACGTTTTGAAGGTTCATCTGCTGCGGAATTCCCTCGCTCTATGCCAGGCCATCGCTCGAGAGCCACGGCAGTTGCAAAGCACTCTATCCCTACATCTCCTAAGAGGAGCTCCGCCAATATTACGGTTTCGACACTCCTCAGGGCAGCATGGGCTGTCACCATTAGCCAACATACCGGCTCAGAACATGTGGTGTTTGGAATGACGCAGACAGGCCGCAATGCTCCCGTGCCCGACATCACGGATATTGTGGCACCGCTCATTACTGTCGTGCCTTTCAATGCTGTGGTTGGGAAGCATATGTCAGTTGCCGAGTTTCTACAGGAAATCCATCAACACACTGTTGCCATGATTCCCCACGAGCATGCCGGTCTTCAACATATTGCGAAGCTAAATGCGGAGTGCCAGGCTGCGTCTAAATTCCAGAATCTACTCGTGATCCAGTCACAACAGCATCAGCAGCAGGCAAAGCTCCCTCTAGGTCTTGAGCGCCTCGACGTAGTAGAGAATGATGTTCTATCCTACGGAATTGTCTTGGTGTGCGACCTCACTGAGAGTGCAGTCATGCTTCAAGCTGCCTTTGACCCAAAATTGATATCTCCAACAATGATGGACACTCTGTTGGCGCAGTTCGGGCATTTCTTCCAGCAACTAAATGATCCCCAATCTGCTCTCATACCACTGCACGATCTCCAGTTAGTTGGGGACCACGACTTGCGCCAATTGATGGTTTGGAATCGACCACGCAGAGCTGAGCGGGTCGACAAATGCGCGCATGAGCTGATACATGAGCGCGCTTTGGTCCAACCTCTTTCTGTGGCCATTGATTCCGCAGAAGGTCAATTCACATACGCTCGACTGGACCAGCTTTCCACCAATCTCGCTTACTATCTTCGAGAGTGTCATGGGGTCGGTCCCGAGAAGATCGTTCCTCTGTTCTTCCGCAAGTCAGCCTGGGCTATAGTCTCAATTCTAGCCGTCATGAAGGCGGGTGGCGCCTTTGTTTTCTTGGATCCCGCACATCCCATGGATCGTTTGATGTTTATTGCACAGCAAATCAAGGCAACCCTCATTATCACAATTCCAGACCTCTCATCAACGTGGGAGTCGACGGCCCTGAACCCCCTTCAGATCACAGAGACTTTCATAGATACACTTCCTACGCAGCAACAACTACCGGTGACTGGAGTAGAACCACACAATGTACTGTATGTGATCTTCACGTCTGGAAGTACAGGAAACCCTAAGGGTTGTGTGGTCGAGCATGCATCTTTCCTGAGCGGTGCTGTTCAGCACGTGCGACAGAGCAGGCTAACTCCTGCCACTCGGGTCCTACAGATGGCACCATACACGTTTGATGTCAGTATCTTGGAAACACTGACGGGTCTCATCTCTGGTGCCTGTGTCTGCCTACCGAGGACAGAGCACCAAAATGCTCCTGTTTCCCAGATCATACACAGCTTGCAAATCACCTGGAGCTTCCTGACCCCTTCGGTCGCCCGAACAATCAACCCCAAAGACTGTCCCAGTCTGAAAACACTCATTCTCGGCGGAGAGTCACTATCACGCGCGGATATAGAGACATGGGCCAGCCATGTCCATCTGGGCAATGGGTATGGTCCCTCAGAATGCTCCGTCGCTTGTACGGCCAACATCAGCATCACCGTGGATACTGATCCGGCCAATATCGGGAGCACGATGTGCTGCAATGCCTGGGTGGTCGATCCGGAGAATTACAACTCACTCTTGCCGATAGGGGCAGTCGGGGAACTCCTGATTCAAGGGCCCATTGTTGCAAGAGGATACCTAAATGAGCCAGAGAAAACTAAGGCCGTCTTCGTCGACACTCCTGCATGGCTTGATCGTTTCGACTCAGGCTTGACCACGGAGAATCGACTCTATCTGACCGGAGACTTGGTTCGATATAACGATGATGGAACTTTGTATTTCGTTGGTCGCAAAGACACGCAAGTCAAACTCCGTGGTCAGCGGATTGAGCTTGGCGACATTGAACATCATACATCTGCCCATCCATCTGTGAGACATGCTGCAGTCGAACTTCCCATATCCGGCAGGTATCGAGATAGCCTAGTCGCTGTACTGTCACTGCGTGAGATAGTCTCAACCTCTTCCGACGTGCTGGCCGACGAGCCTGTGCCAGTATCTGGAGAACAGCTGGATGCCGTTCGTCAATGTATTCCAAATATACGGTCTTATTTAATTCAGCAGCTTCCTGGATATATGGTACCGAGCTCTTTCATCGTGCTCAATGATCTTCCACTGTTGGGCTCAGGCAAGATCAATCGCCCCAAGATCAAAACATGGCTGCATAAAATGAGCACCGACATGCAGGAGCAGGTCGCAGCCCAAGTGGACATCCCGGCGACTCATACCGCATCACTACTTCCTAGTGATCAGACCACTGCTCTCATCTTGAGCAAAAAGATTACGCAGCTCCTCGCGAAAGATGATGAGGAATATACGATGGCCATTCGCAACCGAGACATCGCACTGGCGCCGGCAGGATTGAACTCCATCAGTGCTGTCTCTCTTGCGGCCTACATAAAAAAGGAATTTGATGTCAGGCTCTCGATCGACAACCTGTTAGAGGTATCCATGACCGTATGTGGTGTCGCCCGCATGATTGACAGTGCCAGAGATGAATCTGCCGCTACCAACACGTCTTCTGCCTTGGATTTATCTTTCGAGATTGAGAGGGCACTTGCTGATTTTAATCAAAATGCCGCTTCGAGGCCACTGCAAATTCCCCAGTCACCTATGACCCAACCTCCTGAGACTATCTTGTTGACCGGCGCTACTGGGTTCCTGGGCAGTCAAATTCTCAGGCATCTGCTAGAGCTGCCACACATAAAACGAGTTATAACCCTTGTGCGTGCACCGGATCACGACAAAGCTACCACCAGAGTCATTGAATCTGCTCAGAAAAGCAAATGGTGGCACGATAGCTATTCCAGCCGCTTGGAAGTCTGGGTTGGCGACTTGTCGAAACCTGATCTGGGACTGAATGCCGCTCAATGGTGCTGTATAGAGGGTCGGTCAGAGTCGTGTTCTTCCATCGACGCAATTATCCACAATGGAGCCACCGTCCACTGGGGATATGACTATCAGGGGCTTGAAGCTGTCAACGTCACCAGCACCGTATCTCTTCTAGCCTCTCTCACCCGGTCCCCCAGACCACCACGTTTCACATTCATTTCGGGCGGCCAGCTCTTCTTCGGAGACGACGATAACCACGATGAAGTAAGGTCGTTCGCCCAGATGATGAAGACAGCGGGTGGATACGCGCAAACCAAGTACGTGGCCGATCAGGTCGTGAAGGAGTTTGCTCGGAGATACACCACATCAATTGCAACAATTGTTAAACCAGGATTGATCGTCGGTACTACGGATTCCGGGGTGTCAAATACAGACGACTTCTTGTGGCGAGTTGTGGCAAGCGTGGTTGATATTGGTGCATTCAACAGTACAGGACTAGACGGACTTATTCTGGTTTCTGGTTCCCACCAGGTTGCTACCGCCATTTTGGCAGATGTTCTTCATCCTCAGCCACACGGGCATAGTGTGGAAACTAGCATTCGATATGGTATCCCTGTCGGGGAGCTATGGGACATGTTGCGAGATGACTTCGGCTACCAGCTAGAAGCCGTTGATGCCACAGAATGGCTGGTCCGGTTAAGAACGCAAGTGGAAACGAGCGGTGAGAAGCATCGCCTGTGGCCAGTTTTCCATCTGCTAGAAGCTACTGGCGGGTGCTTGGGCGTCCCTATGCCGGCCCATCTGCGGCAGGATGAGCACAATGATGAAGTGAAGGCTTCTCTCAGGAGAAGTATTGCCTATTTGAGGGAAGTTGGGTACTTATCGAGTGCCAATACTGCCAATGGAGGGTCTTCTTTGCTTTTGCGAAAAGACCTTGTCTTCGCCCGCGCCGGTGGAAGCACCCGCACATGATTCTTGATTGAAACCTCACAGTTTGTATATATAATTTCGATGCCTAAGCCATATTATGTGGCCTTCTTCCTTCCAATTGATTTATTTTTGATTCCTATCTATCTCGATCGCTCTGAGCTAAGGCCAAACTTTTTGATAAGACCCTGACCTTGCTTTCTTATGTTCCACAAACAGAAAGTGGTTGTTTGAGTACGATATGCTATCCTATAGCATGGAGTTAATAAGAGCATACATCTCAAGGGGGGTTTCAGGTTAGTTTAGGTGATATTTTAGTCTTGGTGAAGCGCGCCTTTGGTTAAATATATCCCGGAGACAACTACGTAACTAACCAATAGGACACTGGTCAACGGTCTTTAATAACGCGAATGATATATATATGGAAGAGATAACACGACAGAAAAGCAATACTGAATCAACAGAAAAAGCGAGCGGAGGGATTGAGGTATGTCTCCTTCTCTTGAGAAGCCGGGAATGGGGGAGCTGTTTTGGCTCGGAACAACGAGTTAGAGCTCATCCCCTCATAGAAATATGTATCAGCACGCCGCTGGCGAGCCATGCGAAGAACAAGATACGCCTCGTACTCTTGTCGCGTCAAGGTGGCAAAAACATGTCGGGGATGCACGCAGATGGCCTGCGCGCCTTTCTGCCCAAAGCCGAATGAGGTGATCGACACAGCCTTGAGATGAGGCACGCGCACTGGCCGACTTAGGTAGGCAATGAGATCGAATTCCTGCAGCGCTGAATCGATATTATCGGCATTGCGATTGCCTGGCACCAGGCCCGAATCCAATATTTGCAACGCCCCGTTGACCATCCATGCACCGGCAGCCCCCTTGGAATGACCTGTCAAGTATTTCTGGAAGACACCCAGAAGCAAATTGCCCTTGCGTCGCCCCAGTGCGGTCAGTTGCTGTTGAAGGACGCTGGATTCATTTTTGTCGTTCAATATAGTCGAAGTGCCATGGAACGAGGCAACCTGTAGGTCGTCGATGGTCAGGCCCCAGGTTGCAAGAGCCCCAGTGAGTGGCGCGATTGATGAGTCGTGGCGCCAAAATTCATTGCCCAATGAATACTGAGCATCTCGCTCTTCTTGGACGAAATCAACCAGGATCTGCTCGTGGCGTTCCTTGCGGTATGTAGCCACGTCCAAGTCCGGGTCCTGCTCCAGTACGGTGTCGACTTCGAAGTCTAGCTGTTCAAGGGCCGCCACTCGGGCCTCGGCGATCTGCCTGCGTCGGAACTCGAGGCGGCGTCGACGATTGGCTACCTTCAGCAAGGGAGAAGGGATATTTGAAGCCGCCGTTGTGCGTCTCGCGTTGACAAGCACGCCCTGCCCAGGAGCTGGGACCGAGCGACTAGCCTTATCACTGGAGGTGCTGACAAAAGCAACGATGCCGCGGATTGGGAGCCCCATCTTCAGCGCCAAATCCGCAGTAGTTAGGACTTGCAGCCCACAACCCTGCGATTCCATAAACCCATTGCGGGTAGTGGTGGTTGGTCGCGACATCTCACTGGGTGCTCGCCCTCGGGCGGTCTCGTCAAGGGAATTAGTGGTCGCCTTCATACTAGCAAACTCATATGAGGTCTCCGAGGTAAAATCATCACATCCTCCCACCAAGCAGAACTTGGCTTTCCCTGTCACAATTGTGTCATAACCAAGCTCCATAGACTCGACAGCTGTTGCGCAGGCCCCAACAGGTGTTCGTATGGGGCCACTAGCCGACAGCAGAAGCATATTAACCCAGGCACTAACCGTGTTGACAAAAGTCTCTTGCAGGATATCACTCTGGACCTCCTGCCCGGTAAATCGGTCATTGAACATCTTGCCTAGAGAGGTACTACCTCCCATGCCAGAGCCGATGCAATTGCCCACCTCGGAGACGTGGATATACTGGTAGAGCTCATATGGGTCGGTGATGCCAGACGAGAGCAATGCCTCCACCGTGCAAACGAGCGTGTACAATGTTAATCGGTCCACCTCGGAGATTATTTGGTCAGGCAACCCGTAGGTTCGAGGGTCCCAGCCGGTAGGGATTAGGCCGGCAACAGTACGGTCAAACTGTATGGCACGTGGAACGAACAGCCGGGCTCCCTTACGCAGCTGCACCTGATACAGGTCAGGAGTGGATGACTTCTGCACCGTTATGAAGGCGCCATGTTCTCGACGCATTTGCTCAGCGAGCGACTCAGGCACGCAAAGAGGTTCGAGATCCGCCTGTAAGACAATTTCATGGAGGAATTGCTTTTTATTAGGGTCATACCCGTCACAGAGCTCAGGCTCAATGAAGCGAATACCAGAATGGGCCAGGATCTTCTCTTCGTAGGTTGGCTTGACCGCGGTGTCAGCCACCGGCTGTTTGGTTTTGGTGTCAACCCAACCGGAGTACGGCTGGCCATCAATAGTACCGGAGAAGTGACGAATGAAGCCCATTAGCCACGCCATTTCGATAGCTCCCTCTAGCGAAAACTGCCCGTTCGCTTCCATTTCCCATCGCGTCCGGGAATTGCCATGTGGTCCTAGTTCGGCAAACCCGGTGATGACAACCGTTCGGTGCAGGTCCACCATCCCTTGCAGGTCTTCACCAAGGGAGGCGATGTCACGATCATAGTCGAGGACCTTAGGGAAGTCTAGCCGGACGTGGGCTCTCTCTTCTAACTCAAGCACAGAGGTACCTTGCTCTCGCGGGTTTGACCACCCCGACTCGATGTTATCTTCCTGGAATATGGCAGCTTGGATCTCACTGCGCTCCTTCATCTCGCGTCGCAGCTCGCCTAAGGCTTCTGGCAAGTTGGAGACCTGGGCCATGCCACCTGTCAGATCAGCATAGACCGGAGCCTCCTGACAGAGCTCGTACATAGGCCCAACGCACAAGCAAACCAGGGCATAAGCCATCTCCTCCTGAGAGAAGGTGCGCATACCAGCCTTTTCAATCCCTTCGGCTACGAGATCATTTTGGTTCATCAGTCCCGTGCCGCGAGTCCAGCCGATAACCGCTCCGCAGATGGAGAGGTAATCCTGCCAATTCTCTGAATGCCAACGGTTAAAGAGGGTTTCCAGAGCCACCTTCGATTCACTATAGAGACCATCTCCTCCAAACGTGCCGTGGTTGGGGGACAGCGGTAACAACACTTGCGTGGGATGCGTACGATGGCCGTGGGTTTCCTTGTAGGTCTTCACAGTCCCCAGCAATCGCAACAGGTTGGTTAGCATGATGCGATGTGCCAGCTCCGACTTGGAGTCAATTGAGTCCAAGGTCCGGCCAGCCTCACTGATAGCCGCAAAAGGGATAAGATAGTCCAAGTCCCATCCGAGCCCGTTCTTCTCATCGTACACATGTTCCACCAAGGCAGCAATGTCCTGGGAACTTCCCTGGTTGAACGGTACAACAACAAGTTGTGAACCGCGGGCGCCATGCTCCATATACAAGGCTTGATATTTTGCCGCCACCTCCGGGGACATGGAAGAAGTCGTGACAAGCACTCGAGCTCCCCCTTTCAGAAGATTCACAATCATGGCGGCTCCGATGGACCCGATTCCAGCACCTGTTATCAATACAGTTTGGCCACTGAGAGAGTCACCTTGTGTCTCTACATCATGGAATACCTGGTAAAGATGACGAGTTAGGTCCTCGGAGTACTCCCATCCGGAGGCCTTTCGCTCTTTCAGATGGAGATATGGTTCGCTGTTCACCAGGGGGTTCTGGACCAGCCCCGACCTAGGAAGGGAAAGATTGGCAAAGCGTGACGAATCTTTCCGGGGGTGTTCCTTGTACTGGAGGTTCCCCTGGTTGTCGATGGTTGTGAATGGCGCCAGCTGCCGGGGAGCGCCTTTGAACACCGGTCCCGATAGCAAGTTATCTGTGCAATCGCTTTTCAGCATGTGAAAGATAGATTGTGGCAGACTACGATCTTGCAGCCGGAAAATGATCTCATCCAACACCGGCAGAATGGTCTCGTCGGCGGCGTTGGCTATATGGTAGCACCTCTTTGTCACCGCATCGTGATCCAGCGTACTGTGATCTGTGATGCTTGAAGTGTACATAAAAAGCTCCAATAAACTCTGCCGTGCCCAGTTCCAAGCCGAGTCATAACTTCGGATTTTCTTAGCATCAAAGCGTGGCCGAATACCGTTGGCATAGTCTGAGCCGTGCTCTGCATGCCAGAGATCAAGGTCGGCATGTAGTCCGGTAAGGACTTCTTCACGTAAGTGGTCCAGCGTCTGTCGGTCCGCCTCCAGATCTAGCCCCAATTGTCCAGCATAAAGTGCCAGCAAGCGTCTCGACAAGGTTTCTTGAGACTCGGTCACGGCCCGGACTGCTTCTGGATCCATCATGACCCCGCTGCCTGTACCGACGGCATCTGATGCGTTGGGTGGGAGCAGTGTAAGCCCTTCCCGTTTGGCATATGTCTGAGCAGCGTTGGAGATAAAGTTACGGGCTTCAGATTCAGTGGTGATTCGGCTTGTGGGCTGCAAAGTGACTGCACATAAGAGGCAGGCATCTTGGCGACCCGATTGGAGTCCCCACTGGGTGCCCAGCTGCTCTCGAGCGGTGGCCGCAGTAAAATTACTCGGCATTTTGGTAGTAAATAGGTTATTAATCATGGCGGTTGTGACCTTGCCAAGGGCACCCTTGTGGCTTGACTGAATTTCAGGTCCAACCTGGCCGAGAGGGAGGTCTTCGGTTCGATCGGGCAACGTGCCAAACTCGCTATGTAAATCGCCGATGATTTCATTTTCCAAAGTTGATCTGCCTATATTTTTGACTAATTAGCAAGCATGACTGTTACATGAGCGGAATTTTGAGCTATTTACCTTCGGCTAAAGCCTTGATGGACTTGTTACCGTCGATTTCTGAGGCGGCTCGCTTCAATGCTCTGGCGACAATAGCGAAAACAATATCCTGAGCCTGTATGCTTTGATCCTCGATGCTCACAACTTCGACATGCACCCTTGGTGCAGGAAGAGCTGTTGTTGTCACCTCCACAGTGACCGTTGGGCTTGATACATCCGGTGTTGGTGGGAGATTCTGCGTTTGTGATTGTGCCTGTGTCTGCGGTTGGGTCTGCACTGGCTCAATCTGATCTGGTTTTCCACTGTAGTAGATATCATCGATATCTTTTTCGGAATGAAGGAGCTGCCGTGGAGCTGGCAAAGTGCATTCTTGCGTCGGGTAGATGGTGTCGATGGTTTTTCGAAACATGCCCAGCAATGTTGCACTGGGACCGACCTCAATGATGCGCTCGCTTTCGGTGCGAGACAAAATTACCTCTTGTGTTTCGATCCATCGCACAGGAGAGGCAAACTGATACCTGAAGGGGTGATTTACAGGTTAGTTGAAGACTCTGTCTACTGGAAAAACGAGGCTACTCACACCATCAACTCCATCAGTAGCGTGCGAGCGAGCTTTCGCTCTGTATCGCCGTCAATCATCTTTGCAAATATTCTTTTCCCTTGGTTCTACTCTTCCACTATAAATCTACCGTGAAGGGAACCTGTTGTCGGAGTTCGTCAGGAGAGCCTCTTTCTTTTTTCTTTTTGCTGCAGGCTATCTGCCGGCTTACACGTGGGTAGCTGGCCCATATGCTGTTCAGGGCTGGATATTAATCTATTATTCATGTAAAGTCTTTCCACCTTGGGAACACCCCGTGGACCTTCCCAGTTGTGCATATGAACCGGTATTCTGGGCTCGGTGTAAGCGTGTAAGGAAAGTGTGAAAGGTATCTCTGTAAGAAAACCTGTATTGTTCTCTGGTAATCGAGACATATGTATTGGTATTGGTACAACCAGTCGCCTTTACCTGAATGAGTTAGTACCGTCTTACCCGTGCTTCAGCTTACAAGCCACGGTGGACTGACTCTCGGGGGAGGGATTCCAGGCCAAAAAGCCAACAATAGCGCTAGCGGGCCACCCGCAAGTGTAGTCTGACTTCCCCTTTCTTCTTTTGAGAGAGATAGTGCTGAGTCTTTGTATCTAGCAAAGGTTCCACTCATGTCAGATCATTTACGAGGCTCCCTATTGACTATATGATTTTTTTATTTTTCAATTTGTTTTGGATTTTGAAGGGGGATCCAAGTATTTATTCTAACCCATGCTGTTATAGTATCTTGGCTTTACACTAATCCTGCAGAGTTTGCAGCTTACTGCAAAGACACAAGCATAAATCCATGAATTCTTTTGTAAGATTAATTCCTTGACAAGTGCGGAAGTAGGTAAGCAGAGGCTCGAGCACTGTTACCACCGATCTCATTCCTCAGCGTCTGCCACTGGCGCTACGGGCCAAAGCCAGTTCCCGTCGTTGGTAGCCAATCCCTTTTGCACCGCTAACAACGCCTTCGAGAGACGTTGGCAAGCCTCGCCAGGACCGTCAGCAGAAAACGTAAAGACGTCTCCGGTAGATCTCCGGGTGATCGACTTGATTGGAACAACCATCGCCGCTGTTCCTGCAGCCAAGATTTCTGTGAAGTGTGGCAGTTCTAGGTACGGAATCTACACACAAGACATAATTTAGTAAGAGAGGAGATCAGCCAAAGCGATAAAACATACCGGTCGCAACTCTACCGCCCATCCAAATGAGCGTGCCAGTTCAACGCACGAAGTGCTGGTAACGCTTTTCAGAATCGAGGGAGAGCTGGGCACGACCAGCGTGTATGAGTTCCCAGTCTTCTTCAGTCCCAAGAACCCGGAAGTACTAAACTCATCAATCTGCGACTGTGTTCGGCTGTCGAGATGCAGTGTGATATGGAACCCTTCTGCTCGGGCTTTGTCACTCCACTTCAGCACAGGCGCATAGTTGCCCCCGACCTTAACATGGCCAACTCCTTGGGGTGCAGCCCGATCGAGCTCTTCCAGTACAAGTGCCGGCAAGGGTTGGACTCCATGGTATGCCTTATACGGCTGCACATACACGCAGAACCGGTAACCAGTCCCAGCAGACACGGCAAAGAACGCTTCTGACCCAAACACTAGAGGCCGGATGTATAACGCGGCATCGGATTCATGAGGGGGGACATACTCAGCATTGCGAGCCACTGCTAGATTGATGCTAGTCAAGAAGACACCTTCCGGGATTGCGGGAATGGCAATGGTCGAGCAAGAAAGTGCTAGACGAGCTGCATGATCTTTGGGTCGAAAGACTTGGATCTGGCCGTGAGGGTCGCGGTACGCTAAAGGCAGAGAACATTAGCAAGCTGCTTAAAGGTAGAACAAGGATAACCAAAACCTTTCATGCCCTCAAAGGCTTGTTGGCCTGCATTGGATAAGTTAGTTGCTAGAAACAGGGTTTTAAGAATACTGCAATCACCGTAGTTTAGCCCCGGTGATAATCCGTGAACCCGCAGCAATGGATCTTCCACAAAATGAGGCTTCGACCATTCTCCAGTCGCAACTGAGTACTCTGACTCGACATGGCCATTAACTTAAGTGGAGGGTCAGTCAAGAGTATAGATAGAGAGACACTTGAGTGACAGACCTTCCATAGGAGCAAGGCCCAGCTTGTTCCATTCTGCAACGCGGAGGCCAATTAGCACTAGCGGAAACCGAGAGTGGACTTAGTCCAGGGTGATACGTACCCAAGGATGCGAGAGGGGGAGGAGGAAAAGCAGCCATCGGAACGATATCCTGGTCAAGCAGAATGGGAACGAGGGGAACAAGGTAGCTCAAAATTATCAAGACGACGCAGGTGCCGATTATAGTTACAATCAATAATAGGAAGGCAGGACTATAGGTATATCTGTTCGTTTCTGGTCCTTTTTCCTGTTCTGGAACCAGCTGAGCATATTCGCGTATATTCACCTGCTGGGCGTTAGCTCGGGTCTGGAAGTCATGAAGATATTCGCGCCGGTCCATCTACAATGTACTAAGGATGCACAGCCCCGGCCAGTGTTACATCGTTGCATTGGGATTAAGGAGCTAGGATATGAAATTTGCTCGGTCGACTGGTTAAGATTACATGGCGTGCCAATGCCCTCTACATTTGTCCAGTGGAGACACTGCCTGGTTGGTCTGAGTTAATTCCACCAGTCTAATTCCTTCGGGGTTTGCACCTTGAGGCTGAAAAATTCTGTAAATAATCTCAACTAGCCCTAACAGAATCCAAAGTGAGCAAGGAACAAAAAAGTAGAATTAATTAATTATATGGGGTATAAGTATGGTTTTTTATTCTGAACCATACACGGTGGTATTAACGAAAATTACTAACTGAACGTATTACGTATATTACCGTCTTACCAGCTTACACGAAACATACATAGGATACAAGACATGCATGTGAACTGGAAGAACAGCATCAAACAGGAAGACAGTGAGATGGGGGCAGAAAATTTAATTTAGTATTTCCAGCCCTGTTCCAGCGTGCATAGTGAGCAAGAAAGCTGGGAGAGCCGGAGATCCATGCACGGTGAGACATATCCATGTCTATTTCGCCCTGCTGCTGTAGCAAGTTGCAAACTGGACAGGACGGAATCTCTCAACATCACTTCCTTGGGCCATTCTCTCTTTTTCAATTCCATAGCCCCGTTCAAACCTCCAATGGATGTACCACAGCTCGAAGCCATGCAGTGCCAATGGTCTGCATCAGCCTCAGTGTCGCCGGCATCGACTCCGCCAACCCCATGGGAGGAGGTTGAGCCATGTTCCCCGGTGTTTGAGGAGATCGTTCTCCACGTCAATAACATCCAATGCACTCTAAGGGTGCCACGAGGGATCGCTCGCAGGGGTCAGGAGCTTGTGCAGCAGTTCGTTTCAACGGCGGCCACTCTGGAGCCCTTGTCTTCTCTGGAACTGTGCTGCCTATTCATGCAATATATCATGCAGGGTATAACGCAGGAGAGACATGGAGATTTGGACATATCCGTTCTCCACCAAGTTTTAAATACGCTGCATGTTGATCTCCTCCAGAATGAGAATATCCACACTGTCCTGGCGTCGATGAACCAGGACAAGAACCGGGATCGACCCATCTTGCAGGCTTATTTTCAAGCATGCAGGGAAACAAGATCATCATGCGCTGTGGCGACCAGTAGCCTCCTTGCCGATGTTGATCAAGGTCATGCGCAGATCTTTGCTCTGTTCAATGGACAAGGCGTCGAGTCCTATTTTGACGAGCTGCTGGCGGCTTATGACATATATCATCCCCAGTTAGCTTCTTTCATTTATACGGTTTCCAACCCTCTCATCCACCTGGCACAGGAAGCTCAATTTAAACCACTGTTCCCGCATGGGCTGGATGTGGATTTATGGCTCCGAGTGCCGGAGTCTCGTCCAAATGCCTCCTACCTCGCCGACGCCCCAGTGAGCTTCCCGCTCATAGGGCTCTCCCAATTTGTGCAATATGCTATTGCATGTATCAACCTGGGCCAGTCCCCGGCAGAACTACGCCACGTGTTTGCTGGCGCTATTGGTCACTCTCAGGGCATCGTGGTGGCCTCTTTCATTGCCGCTGCCGATTCCTGGGATTCGCTCTGTAATGCAGCTCAGCAGGCGGTGGAATTGCTGTTCTGGATTGGCTGTCGATGCCGGCAGCAGTTGCAGGGCATATGCCCTGTTTCCATTCCATCCAACTGCATGCTCGGCATCAAGGGCCTCTCTCAAACCGAGCTCCAGCGTCACTTGGATGAACTCAACCTCCATTTGTCAGCCAAGGAAGCGGTTTACCTGGCCTTGGTAAATGGACCAGAGCAACTCGTCGTTGCCGGATTGCCTCTTTCATTGCGGGCGCTGGACCAGAAAATTAGCAAAGGCTACAATCAAGCCAAGTCTGCGAAGCGAATCCCCTTCAGCAAACGCCTTCCTGTCGTTCACACTAGATTCCTCGCCATCACGGCGCCGTTTCATTCGCCTTATCTCCAGGAAGCGGAAGATAAGCTCCAAAATGACCTTGCTGGCTTCTCTTTGTCTGGCTCGCAGCTAGCCTTCCCTGTGTTTCACACCGAAACTGCCGAGAATTTACAAGAAATTGAGAATGTTGTCCCTCACCTGATCAAGATGATTTGTACTCGACGAGTCGAATTTGAAAAGGTAGTAAACAACACCTTGATTGGAGCAACGCATGTCCTTGACTTTGGTCCTGGTGGTGAGGTTGGCATGGGAAGCCTGGTCAATCATCAGCGCGAGGGCACAGGACTACGCACTTTGATCATGAGTGCCGCTCGGGGAGCCACCAATAGTAACACTTCCAATCTGGGATTTTCAAGCGAGCTGTATGCCCACAACGTGGCAGCTCTCTACAACTCTATCTGGAATGCTGAGTTTTCTCCGCGTCTCATGCAGTTCCCTAGCGAGTCTCACTTGGTTGACACCAAGTTCAGCCGGCTACTAGGGGTCCCTCCGGTGATGGTTGCCGGCATGACTCCGACAACGACCGCCTCAGAGTTTGTAGCTGCTGTCATGAACGCCGGGTATCATGTCGAGTTAGGCTGTGGAGGATTTCCCGATCGCGACAGCATGCGTCGGGGTATCCTTGCCACAGCAGCAGAGATTTCCCCTGGCCGTGGCATTACATGCAATGTCATATATGCCAACCCCCGAGGCATGGCCTGGCAGATTCCCCTCTTGGTCGAGCTTAGCCAGTCCGGCGTCCCCATCACGGGCTTGACCATCGGTGCCGGCATTCCTTCACTGGAAATTATTCAGAGCTATCTGTCCGATCTGCCATTAAAGCATTTGGCTCTCAAGCCAGGTTCCAAAGAAGGCATCGATGGTGTCCTGGCCATTGCGCGGGCCAACCCTACATTCCCAATCATCTTACAGTGGACAGGCGGTCGGGGTGGTGGCCATCATTCCTCTGAAGACTTACATGAGCCGCTTCTAGACCGATATGCACAGATCCGCTCTCATCGCAACGTGATACTTGTTATCGGTAGTGGCTTCGGTGACGCCGAACAGACCTATCCCTACTTGGTTGGTTCCTGGTCCCAGGAGTATGGACGTGCGCCCATGCCGGTGGATGGCATCCTGTTGGGTAGCCGTGTTATGGCGGCTAAAGAAGCCCACACCAGTCCAGCCGTGAAGGAAGCTATTTGCAGTACCGCGGGCGTTGCAAATGAAGACTGGGAGCAAACGTACGAGCGCGCTGCCGGTGGAATTATTAGTGTACGCTCCGAAATGGGCGAGCCGATTCATAAGCTAGCCACACGCGGCGTCATCTTGTGGGCCGAATTGGACAAGTCGGTGTTCTCTTTGCCGCGGAATGAACAGAAGGCTGCTCTGCTCGCCCGCAAGACATATTACATCACACGTCTCAATAATGACTTCCAAAAAGTCTGGTTTGGCAGAAATGCCCGTGGTGAAGTAATCGATCTGCATGAGATGACCTACGCTGAAGTCTGGGACCGCATGGTCGAGTTGCTGTATCTGAAAGTGGCCCAACAGTACATCGACCCCTCATGGAAGGCATTGGTACGAGACTACACTCACCGGCTAGAGGAGAGACTGGGCGGGAGAAAGGAACATCCTGCCCTCCAAAGCGTGGAACAACTGGATGAGCCCGAGCAGTTCAGAGACCTCCTCTTCAGTCAGTATCCACAGGCTCACACCGATGTGCTGACAGCCGCCGATGTGGAATACATCCATCTAATTTCACGTCGCCGAGGGCAGAAGCCAGTCCCCTTCATCACGCTTTTCGACGAAGATTTCGAATACTGGTTCAAGAAAGACTCTCTGTGGCAGTCGGAGCGCTTGGAAGCCGTTGTTGGACAGGATGTCGGTCGCGTGTGTATATTGCATGGGCCAGTAGCCGCTAAATACACGCAAAGTGTCGATGAGCCAGTGCAAAATATTCTCGATAGCATTCACGACAAACACGTCTCGTGGATCCTGCGCGACAAATATGTGGGGGATCTCGCACGGATCCCCTCGGCAGATCAACGCAGCAGCCACCCCCGTTGGCCCGTTACGGGGGTTCATTTGGATGCAGAGCCTGACGGAAAGACAGTGAGGTATATCGTCTCCGAGAATCCGCCGTCGCCCGAGGTTTGGCTGGAATTATTGGCTGATACAACTGCTGCACCATGGTGTCGTGCTCTTCTCACCGAAAAGACCATTGTCCAGGACAAAACAGTTGTGGACAATCCTCTACCGAGATTGTTTGCCGCCAAACCAGGTCTGGTCGCTGAGATTTGCAATATACAAGCCCTAGAAAAGACAGAGATTCTGCTCAAGGAGATCGAAAGGGATGGCAAAGGCGCAGAGCATTTGCTGGCAATTTCCTCACTCCGCTGCAGCCCTGAGGGCCTGATTACTCTGACTCTCTCGGATCGGACGGTGGCAGGTCGGGCACCAGCTGACCTGGTCTTCCTATTCAACTACCAGCCATGTGGTGGTGCTCTCAGCATTCACGAGGTGATGCCAGACAGGAACCAGCGCATCAAGCAATTCTATCGGTCAATCTGGATCGGGAAGCATGGATTACCAGTTACCTCTGACTTCGTATTCCGGGGTCAAGATACTGTCCTAGACCGGGAGACAATTCGCAAATTTGCGCAGAGCGTATCAAATCGGAACCCGGTCTATTATAACTCCCGCCCCGATGACTTGCTGGTGGCTCCACTGGATCTGGCCATTGCAGTAGCTTGGAAGCCCCTCATGAGCAGCGTGTTCCCTGATGTGGCTTCAGGGGATATGCTCCGATTACTCCATCTCAGTGCCGGGTTCGAACTTTGTGATGGAGTCGCGCCATTGCGGGAGAGAGACCATCTCTCGGCGGATGGTCGTCTTGTGTCTGTGGCGGTCAAAAAAGGCTCTGGCAAAGTTGTGGAGGCGGAAGCAACCATCTATCGCGAGTGCATGCCGGTAGTCCGCTTGACGAGCAAATTCATTTTGCTTGGTTCCTACCCCGAAAATGAGCCAACGTTCGAGATCAGGGAGGAGAAGTGGCGCCTGCCGCTAGATTCGAAGAAACAGGTGGCTCTTCTTCGATCGAGGGCCTGGTTCAACCCAGAAGGAAAAGTCGACCTGCTAGATCATCTCCACCACACGGTAGATGTTCATACCACGAGCCGTACACGTTCTGTTGCCGCCGACTCAGGCCACGGGCTGGAGGTTGAGGGCCAGATCATCTGGCAGTCGGATTCAACATCAGAATCGGTGATCCTTGGGTCCATTATTTTCTCTGCCACTGCCATCGGTGCACGAAACCCTGTCACAGACTACTTGAAGCGACATGGGTCCTTGAGCTCAGGTGAAGACTGTCTCTTTGATGCTCCTCGACCTCTTGTTCAAGAGCTTCTGGTGACGGTCCCTGATGCCGGCAGCGAGTATGCCCGAGCATCTGGTGACTGCAATCCCATTCATCTGTCTAGTCTGTTTGCTAGCTACGCAGGCCATGAAACGCGGGTCACCCATGGCATGTTTACCAGCGGATATGTCCGTGGTCTGGTCGAATCATATCTCGCGCGCAACGATGTAGCTCGCATGCGATCGTGGTCATGCACATTTGACAACAAGGTCTGCGCCGGAGATCAACTGGCCATTCAGATCAACCATACGGGAATGTCTAGAGGGAAGATGCTAGTAACTGTCCAGGTGCTCAATGTTCGCACTGGGATCAAAGTACTTTCCGCACAGGCCAGCATTGAACAACCAAAGACGGCATATGTCTTTACAGGACAAGGCAGTCAGGAGCCAGGCATGGGGATGGCACTGTATGAGAGCAGTCTGTCTGCGCAAGAGATTTGGAAGACAGCAGACGAATTCTTTGAGAATACATATGGTAGGGATTCAGTGCAAGATTACTTGATATTCGATGACTGACAAAGACTAGGCTTTTCTATTACACACATCGTGCGCAACAACCCGAAAGAGCTAACAGTGCACTTCGGTGGATCTCGAGGCCGTGCCATTCGAGAGAACTACATCTCGCTCACGTTTGATGCAGTGGACGACGATGGCAAGACCACCTGCCAGCCCGTCTTCCCCAATATCACAAGATCAAGTCGCTTCCACCGCTTCCGATCTGTCGATGGCCTGCTCCATGAAACCCAATTCACACAGCCAGCGCTGGCGTTGATGGAAATTGCACGTTTCGAAGACATGCGGCGTCGAGGAGTGGTTGAAGAAGCGAGTCAGTTTGCTGGGCATTCTCTCGGTGAATACGTAGCCCTCACAGCAATGGGACGCATTTTCTCAGTCCAAAAAGTTGCTGGTTTGGTCTTTTATCGGGGTCTCAGCATGCAAAATGCAGTCCAGCAGGACCCGCAAGGGGCTACTCAATACTCGATGTGTGCCGTCAACCCCACTCGAGTGTCAAAGACATTTAGCCAAGATGACTTGAAGTGGTGTGTAGCTGAGATTGCGCGACAAACTGGAGGGTTGTTGGAGATTGTCAATTACAATGTCCTCCACCTCCAGTATGTATGCGCTGGCGATGTAAGTAATTCTTTGGTTTTTCTCCTTTCTCACTCCCTTGTCCTTCTACATATACTAATTATTCCATAGCTCCGGGGACTGGCAACTCTGACAGAGCTTATGAATGCACTGGCGTCGCGTTCCCTGGGTATGCAGTCCAAACCAGATATACAGCGCTTTATCCAGGAATCTCTGGCAGGATTGGATATTCGGACAGGGCCAGTGGTTCTCCAACGAGGACGAGCTACTATCCCCCTCAAGGTGAACGTGCCGTTCCACAGCAGTCTTCTCCGTCCCGGTGTCCAGTCTTTCCGACAGTTCTTGAGTCGCAATTTGGCGGAGTCTTCCATCCAGCCTGATCGATTGGTGGGTAAATACATTCCTAATCTCACTGCGAGGCCGTTTGAGCTTTCCAGAACATACGTTGAAAGCGTACTTGCGCTCACTGAGAGCCCTGTCTTGGAGACTCTCCTCTGCAATGTAAGTTTTCCCCCCTCTGACCCAGCTGCCGCTGTTGCTAACCAAGGATGCTCACAGTGGGAATCCATGGAAAATGGGGGTTACGATGAACAAGTTCTGTTTCCTTGGTAAAAATTGGGTCATTGCAGTCTTGTCTTTTTTTGTAAAATGCACCTACGCTATAATGAAAATCGAATACACTATATCCCGAATCCTAGCTATCCTGTAAGGTTGATGGTTTTCTCGGCGTAGAAAACCTATCGTGGACTATGTATGAGGAAGATGAAGGAGCAATTTCTTGCTTCGTGATGATTTGCTTTTTTCATTGTCCTATGTTATTCGTCAGGTGCACCCCTAGTTAACTCATACAGTCGTAGGCCATACATCCTTTTAGAAGCCTATTTCTATACAATTCTACATAATCAACCAGAGGCACTTGAAAGTGGGCAAGAAAGAGGCGAAAAAAGTCAGGCCAATGTAGGGCGAAAATAGTGCATAAAACACTACACTCGCTTCGAGGCCTTTGTGCACCGTCCAAAACTTCATCAGTGGCACTGTGTACAAATTTATAACACCTGGTGTCCTTTACGTTCTAAAAGAAATTGGTTTGATAATTATCCAGAATTGCATGGCATCTACACCAACATCACCCATGTACAGCTCCTTAGGAGAGCCATACTCCATCGAGTTCTGCTCTCTCTTTTGGCGTTTATGATGCTTTCACAAGACCGTTTACCTGACATTTTTAAGTTTGGCTTGTCACAATATATATTTGCATAGGATCATCCAAAGCCCTTATTTTGAAGCAAAACTCATGAACAGGCTTTGACACTCCCATTCGAATATATATATTGAAATGGGGATCGCATGATGACAGTCTGGCATAGCAGACGGGTCGATATCAATGGAGAGAGAACGCAACCAACCACTCCCATACCCAGCTCAGGCGTAGAGAGCGGTCTTTGTAGGTGTCTATCGTACTGGACTTGAAGCTATACCATGAATGAAGAATCTGGTGGAGGACTGTAGTCATATTGAGGATGGTGGGATCATGCTCCTATCTCTAGACGGAGAGGACTGCATATCTCCTGAGCCTTTGTGATACCTCAGGCCACTAACGTACTACTGTCACTAGTTTAACCACTACAATATGTATAGACGCTGTAGTGAAGAGACTTCCGAATTATCATAGTTTAGTCTTCTCCTAGAGGTCAACGATAACATCTCAAGCCACCGGTGCTACTCTATTCCCTCGGACACACCGAATGATCCACAAACAGAGCTGACAGATTCAGCTCCAGGCAGTACTCTATGGCCAATTATCGCCCCCAATTCTCAAGACACTGTGGCCCCCAAAAAGGCAGGAACGGAAAGTGGGCAATTCAAACCCCTTGATATTTACGACCTAGTTCTTACATCCTACCATGCTCCAAATAAGCCCAAGCCGAGACGTCTGCAATGCAGATGGCCAGATGATTGGGAACAATTGCACGGGTCTCACGAGACGAGATCGTTTGGCGTTCCCCACTTGGGACACGAGGTAGTTCATTCTACGTGACATCGGCTGAGTGATACCAATGCCCCAACTCGTGGCAAAATGGTATGATTTAATTGCATGCGGGATATTTCCATGTGGCATTGCATGATCCAGTTCTAGAAAGTGGATAGACTGCATGCAGGAGAGTGGATGATTTCAGTGACTCACTTGGAATATGCAACTATTTCTCAAGCAGATACAAAGCTGCTCATTCCTATAACGTATAGTTTAGACGAGCAGAGCGGCTTAAAGCTGCTAGGCACGCCTGGCTGAAGAGTTAGTGCTTATATCAAGGCGGACTTAATTGGGTTCCCGCCATATTCGCCATTCAATTAGGTCGTCCCACAATGGCAAGTATATTTAGACTTTCTGATATGTTTCAACCTCGTAAACATGGGTATTTTGGCTTGATTGCTGGTATACTACTCTGACGCTTACTATCCTTTACCATGACTGTTTTTGATATACGCAGGTGTATGGCCATGTATCGTGGTATTGTATTGTATTATATACAAGACGTATGACAATACAACGGGTAGGCGATACTGTAGGAATATTTCGCTCAACTTAGCCTGAAAAACGTACCGGGATGTTACCCATTTTCCTTGAAAGTAGTAATTTTGTTTAAAAAAAAAAAAAAAAAGAAAAAGGGTCAACTACATACCTGCAATCATCGGTTATATCGTTCCACGTGGGGAGAGGATAACATGGTGGAACGCATTTCCAATTGACCTGCATCTTCCGCGCATGAACCAAGAAGAGGCCCGCGTGCACCCAGTCTCTCCTTTCTTTTTATTTATTCTCCGAGCCTTTGATGGGAAGAGCCTCTGACTGTCAGTACTGTGCCCTCACGATGATCTTTCCTCAATGGATCTCCCCCCTCGCCGTCCGGGTGCTGATCCTGGGGTTCGTGGCACTGGTAGTCAATGTAAAACCCTCTCACAGTTATTTCTGTGCTCTTCCCTCTCTGTTAAACCTGGCTAACCTATAGATATAGGTCGTGGTTGTGGTTACTTATCGAATCTTCTTTCACCCTTTGGCAAAATATCCAGGGCCATGGCTGGCAAAGATCAGCAATCTTTACGCTGGGTATCACTCTTGGCGAGGTGACCTTCACGTGGATATGTGGAGATGCCATGAGGAATATGGGGATTTTGTTCGATATGCACCAAATGGACTTTTGGTCAACACGGTCAAGGGCCTCCATGGTACGCTTTTGTCCATTTGCATAATCGAGATGGCTTGCTAACGAACGGGTAAAATATAGATGTCTATGGCCACGGCAAGAACTTCCAAAAATCCCAGAAATATGCCGCTATGGTTCATCGAGCACCCAACACTTTGACGGTGATCGACAAGAAAAAGCATGGCAAGAAAAGAAGAGTCATTAGTCAGGCCTTTTCAGATAACACACTTAAATCGTACGAAAGTGTGATTCTTGAGCAAGTTCAGCATTTGTGCAATGCGCTGCGAAAGGGCAGTGATGGTCAACCCGTTCCTATTCATTCTTGGTCCCCTGCTAAGGATATTGGTCATCTAAGTATGCGCTATGATTCAATTGTGTTCCAGTTCAACGGCTGACTAGGCTATATTAGGTGATTATTTTACCTTCGATGTGATGAGCAACGTTATCTTTGGAGTACCATGGTCTACTCAACGGGATCCAAAATATCGCTTTGTTCCGGATGTCATTGAAAAATCTAACGTGCGGGTTGGTGCATTGTCTCAGGCGCCTGAGCTGGCCATATTGAGGCTCGACAAGTTCTTGTTCCCTGAGGCCATTAAGGCTCGGGATAAATTTATTCATTTTGTGGAGGAAATGCTTCGCCAGGGAATTCAATGCGCAACTAAGTCAGGAAAGGGGGCATTCGCAACCTTGAGTAAGGCGATTGACCCTGAGACTGGCCTACCTCTTCGCATGAAGGAGCTCGCAGGAGAGAGTGCCACTCTCATTGTTGCCGGTAAGAGGGAAACAGGAGTTGGTTAGGTTTATTTACTGACTGGGTCATTCTCCTTGACAAACAGGCACTGATACCACCTCGACTGCCTTGGCAGCTTGTTTCTTCTATCTGACACATCATCCCGATGCACTTGCACGGGCAGCCGCCGAAATTCGCAGTGTGTTCGACGCTCCAGATCAGATCAGTATGGGCCCAAAGATGCACCAGTGTGTGTTTTTGCGTGCGTGCATTGAGGAGAGCATGCGCTTATCCCCCTCTGCGGCAAGCTCGTTGTGGCGAGAGGTGACTGACACGGGTGCTGAGGTGGACGGAGAGTTTCTTCCACCCGGGGTAGACGTGGGGACTTGCATTTACAGCATTCATCACAATCCAGTCTACTATCCGCAGCCCTTCACTTTCTGTCCTGAGAGATGGATTGCCAAGCAAGCGCAGCTCATCCAGAGCGACGTCGACCTGGCTAGGTCTGCGTTCAACCCCTTCTCCATTGGGCCCCGTAGCTGCATTGGCAAAGGCCTGGCGTACGTGGAACTGCATCTAGTGCTCTCGCATGTCCTTTGGGCATTCGATCTGCAACTGGCGCCAGGGGAGCTGGGTCACGTTGGCGAGGGCCACGAGGATGGTCCTATTGGGCGGCAAAGAGTCAACGAATTTCAGATTTTCGACCATCTGACAGCTGCTAAAATGGGGCCATTCTTGGAGTTCAAACCCCGTATATAGTTATGGGAAGAGGAGGAAGGACCGTCGCTGGTGTCTCAAGGATTGCTGAGGAAAAGAGCAGGAGAGAGAGGAGACGTCTGCTCTCGCAAAATGGCGGATCAAAATGCCGCATATGAGAAACCTGAAGTTGTACGAATGCCACTCGAAGCTATAGGCCGCGAATATGATTTAGTTGCGTTCAATGCGATACGCGTCAAATACTCCTTGTTCCAATTCAGAATTGCGGGTTGCGATATGTATTCTTGCGGGAAAGGCTCCACTTAGACAATGAGCCATTTTTTGCGTTGAATGTTATATTTATACCGAGACATTGCAGAACGGCCCCGGACAGGAGTCGGAAGAGTAGGAAAAGTCAATTGTAATTCAAGCGTGTATCTATACCTACAGCACATTGAATAGTTGTTTAATTAAGAAAAATTGCTTCGCATTCAAGCGAATTGCTCACACAATGAATCCGGCGTCTAGATGGCATCCATGCTAGTTTCCGTCAGAGTAAATCAGCTCAGTGGTAAGGCCTTTCCACACGAGGTCAGTCTTGCAACTTCAACCGCCCCAGCTGCTGTAATTAGGGCTGGGGCACGCACGCCATTTCGTCTGAATAAGCCGCATGACCAATTTAATCAGTACTGAGGTACTTAGTAGTATACTGGCCCACAATGACCGTAAGTTATAATAGAAATACCTGTGGTGCCACTAGTAGTAATACTAGCGCAAGGCCTGCGGAGCAATACTGGTACGATTGGAAATAATACCGTAAATACAAGGAGTAATACAAAATGTAAACATGTACCGATGCAAGACCTCGGTTTCGGACCAGACAATACTGTACCAGTACCCATACCGTAACAGCCACGGTGACTTTCGTATCGAGTCTGGTACCCTCACTCACCACCTAGTGGGGAGAAGATGGGGGCGAT